TAATAGATACTGGAAAATGGAAAGAAAATATTCAAGTGAGAATTGGGAAAGGGGAATGGGGAGGGAGAAAGGAAAAAAGGAATAAGGGAAAAAGAAGAAAAAATGAAAACTAAGCTTTTGTAAATAAAGGGGAAGTAGGGTTGAAGGGAGGGAATGCAAATGGGAAAAAAAGAAATAAGATATACCATGTACAGATACAAACTCCCTATGATAAAACGTACCAATAAAATAAAAACTTTAAAAAGAAAAAATTTTTCTTTTTTTTGTCTTTTTCCTTTTTATCGGTACCAGGGATCAAACTCACGACTGCCTGCTTGCAGGGCAGGCGCTTATGCCGCTGAGCTAAATCTCCAGCCCCAAAAGAAAAAATTTTTAAAGGGGAGGAAGTAACTCAGTGTAAAAGCCCTGGATTCAATTCCCAGTAATACACACACACACACACACACACACACACACACACACAATGTAAGCCACTTCTGCAGATCCTAAAGCCACCTAGGAGCTTCAGTTTAGAAGATCTGGCGGAGTCTGCAGCTCCTGCCAATCAGGATCCCAGAACTACTTGCGACACTCAGGAACAAGGCACGTGGTTGTTGCGGCCCTGATTCTCCCCAGACTGTCTGCAGACCATGGGCCCTCACCGGACATCTCCTGCACAAATCAGCACCCACTTAGTCCTCTGAGTCACAGTCTCCTGAAACTACGCCCTGTGCTCAGGCCCCGGTGTCCTACGAGGGCTCTCCGGTAGCAAGTCAGCTCCCACCCACAGCCCCCCTTCCCGGTTGTTTTCCCCAAAGTGCGAGTGACCCCGGAGCGACCACCAGGGGGTAGCAGAGAACCACAGCCGCTGCCCCTGAATCGTGCCTGTGCCGATTCAGCGTCCTCTGATACCCGACTAGTTGGCCTCCTGGCAGCCCTTGCCTCGCTGGCTTCTTAGTTCTCCCTGACACTGCTGAGGGGCACTCCCTGGGTTGAAGTTAGGATTAATGTCCACTCCTTTTCAGGGTCTTCAAACTATCCGTAAATCCAGTAGCCTTCCTCCCTGACTGGCCTCCAGCTGAGGGACATATGCACAGTGAGGATGCCCAGGCCTATGCTCCCAGTGGTCGCCAGCATTCCAGCATGTCCCAACCAAATTTCTCTCCATCCTGCACTGAAGTCACCAGCTGGCTGGCACCCAGGTGGGTAGGACTTAAAGGAAGTGGCACGGAGCCACTATGCTGCCTTGAGTGAGGGATATTCACATGAAGATGTGACTGCACAGAAGGGGTAGACAAATGTGTAGAGAACCTGGGGCTATGTGAGAGTCCCAGGGACAGTGTGCCAGCCAAGGCTCCCATACCAAGGGCTCTGGAGGTGACGTGAACATCTATCTGCCTAACAGGGTGGCAACCTTCTCAATTTGTGCAGCTCTTTCTTGCTCTCTTGGAGAAGCCTAGGGCACCAGATGTGCTCGCTATCCTAAAATAAACACAAATCTGTGACTGGAGGGAGCTCAACACACAGGAGTATATTGTCCCTGATTGAAAGGTCACAACCCACGCATCCTGGTCTGTGGGCCCCTCTGCCCATTTGAGAAGTTCAGACCAAAGGCTGTCAGCTGGCTACATGTCCAACTCTCAATTAGTGCCCCAGCCCATTCCTCAGAGAGTGGTGCACATCAGTTCCACCACTTGTCCTCTGCAGCCCTTATGCTAGTCAGCTACTTCTCATTCCAATCTCCCAGCTCTCTGCTGGCCAGAGCAGAACTAGAGACTCAGTCCTCATGATCCTTACATCCTAACAGGGTGGTAGAGAGACCAAGCTGGAGGCAATGGTCCTGGCCTTTCTCTTTGATGGTAGTGAAAATTTGGTGGTTGACAGTAGACACACTTGGGGGCCAGAGAAAAGCAAAGTCCAAGTCACTGTGCAAATAGGGACAGCTCTGGACTTTGTGCCTGATCCCAGCTCATCAACTGAGCTGGACAGAGCTAGCCTAGTCACCACTTGACTAAGTTACCTGCCTCCACATGGAAGAAAGGGGATATTATATCTTGGGGGGGGGGTATTTGGGCTGCTAGAAAGACAGGATATATTGGCCCAGGACAGAGGTAGACACCCACAAACAGGGTATTGAAGAGTTATTAGCCCTCAAGGACTAGAGGACTCCCTCCAGGACCCTGGCAGGGGAGGAAGCCCCAGGACAACCAAGGCCCAGCCACATAGTGTGTCTCCTGAAGTTTCCACTGGGCTAAGCTGGACTGCAGAGCAGGAGAGACCCTCAGGGTCAGGGGTGTGGCCTCCAGGAAACTGGAGGCAGAGGGTTCTGAACCTGAGATCAGACAGTGAAGGCTTGTTTTTGTTGAGTTATAGGAATTCTTTCTATATTATGGGTATTAACGCCTTATCAACTATAAACAAAACTAACCCTTCTCCCATTCTGTGAGTTGCCTTCCCACTGTTTCAACAGTATCACTGATGCGTGATTCCATTGTATCTAATTTTGCTCTTCTTGTCTATACATTTTGTATCATATCCAAAAAATCATTAACTAAACTCAGTCTCAAGCTTTCTTGTTTTCCACCAAGAGTTTCATAGTTTTGGCTCTTTTGTGTAGGTCTCTGATCATTTTGAACTAGTTTTTATATATGGCATGAGGTAAGGATCCAACTTCTTTCTTTGACATGTGGATCTTCTTCCTTTGTAGAAATCCACCCAAGAGCAGCGGGCTCTTGCTCACAGTGATATGTGTTGAGTCTGGCCCCTAGCAGGCCAAGAAAAGGCATAGAGGGCTGCACACACAGGGTCCACACACCCAATGGCATGAAGCCCAGGGCAGGCACATCTGCCATAAGCATTCCCAGGATTTTATATTGATTAATTCTCCACTAACCTCAACTCGCTGAAGCCTCGGTTTCTCTTCTGGCCCCAGGGAACTGGCTACAATCAAGTCTCCTGTCCTCGGAAAATGTGGGCTGGGGTGCAAGCTGCTCACAGGCTTCTAGGCTGAACTCCTCAGATGTGAAGTGGCCTTCTGCCTCATGCCCTGCTCTCCTCCATCTCACCAGGTCCCACATTCCTCCAGCATGAAGACTTTGGGCCTCATACCACCACAATAAGAGTTCACTACACTACAATAAGAGTTCTCTGTGCAGGGTGGAACTCAAAAACCTGGCTGTAGGCAGTGTCTTTTCACCATCCCCTCAATATGGAGCACAGGCCCTTGTCTTGTTTCTCCTCTTCCACAACCTTTACTTTCACTCAGAAAACTCTGCAGCCCTGAACTCAGGATTAACAGTGACACTTATTAGAAATATAGATTCCCAGAACTCGCAGAGCTGGGAGCCCAGTGAGAACAGGTGTTGCTAATGAATTCCGTCACCTCAGAGCCTAGGAATAACAGCCCCTTGGAATTCAATGTGGGAGACTTGGAGTGCTGGCTTCTGCTTCAGAGGCCAGACCGTCTAGGGCCCAGTTACGGTCATAGGGCCCAGTTATGGCCACTTCCACTTCGTTTGCTGACCAAATCAAAGGAGGCCATTTATGTGCAAATGAACCTGAGCCTATGGGGACCTACGTGACCAGCCACACTGGCACTAGAACCAGCCCTCCACCTGGCCCTTGCTGACAGGGACCCTGCCCAGCCCAGTAGAGACCTACAAGATCTTGGCAAGTCTGCACCCTTCTGATTTTATCCTTCCTGCCCCTTCTGATTTTATCCCTCCTGCTAACGTGGGAGCTAAGAGTACACAGATTCCACATTGCACACCCACTGAGCCCTGGGCCAGTGTGGGCTAAGGGGCGAGGAACCCGTGACCTCAGACAGGATAGCTGAAGAACCCAGGGAAGGGAGAGAGAAAGAGGGAGCGGTGAGGTGAAGGAAGAAGGACGGGAAAAGGGAGAGAAAGAACGGAAAGAGAGAATGAGGGGATGAGGGGATCGACGGATGGATGAATGGATGACAGCAGATCACTCCGGCGTCCCCTGGCACACCTCTTCACAGACTACCCACATCCCCGTCGTCCGGCCCTCCTGGGACCCTTGTACTCCGGAGCTGTCCCTGGCGGGGCTCGGTTACCTGTCGGCCCAACCGACAGGTGTCCAGGTACCGCTAACCACCACGGCTGTAAGCAGGAAGCTGCTCCCAAGAACCAGGACTGACCCGGCGGCGGGGGTTCCCGCCGCGCCCCGCCCCCATAATTCTCGGAACTTCCCTACCAGTCCTCCCTCCCACTCCACCACCCTGGCAATGGCCTCACTCCCCTCCCCCACCCAGGGCCAGCCGGCGGGTTAGGGAGCGTCCACATATTCCCCTCCCGTCTGTGAGCGTGCGTCCGGCCGTTTGTGCGGGCTCAGCACATTGGGCTGATTCGAGGGAAACCCCGCCCATGGCTCCCAGCTGACCAATCGCAGAGGGTGTCACAAGGCGCTGTGCTCCGGGGGCCATCACCATCCTGCGACGATTGGGGGATCCTTAGGCCTCAGTGGTTGTTGCTCCCCAGACCCAGGCCCTGACCACAAGGAAACCTCCGGGTCCTCTGCCTTGGGAGGTGCACGCTGGCCATCCAGGGAGCCCTTGAGGGTCTCGGTCTCTTTAACCACCCCTACCGCTCGCTGGCGTGTCCTCGAGCGGAGGCATGCAGCCCGAAGGGTAGTTTGCAGACGCTCCCTAACTTCGAGGACGCGGCTCCTTTAAGGATGTGGGTATCCGAGGCACCGCCTGCCTGGAGAGGCGCCCCGAGCCCAGGCTTCCCCGGCGGACCCAAGCGGCAGGTGCGCGACAGCGGGACACAGGAAGTGAGGCGAGCACGGCAACACGGACAACACCGCTCGCGGGGTGACGGCTGCGGCTCGAGAGTCAGGCACACAGGGGACAGCCCGGTTCAGGCCCCGCCCCGCCCCGCCCGCTGGGGTCCTGCGCTCGGGGCTGCGCGCGGCGGGCGCGGAGGGAAGTCCCGAGACAAAGGGAGCGCCGCTGCCTCTGCCGCCCCGACGCGCCGGGCCGCGGCCGCCAGGTGAGCCGTCGACGCCAGGGTTCGACGCTCCACTCCCCGCTCCGTACTCAGGTCGGGCCGCAAGGCCACCCCGGTGTGGCCGGACCTGGATTGCAGGCCTCCCATCTCCCGGCCTCCCTCCCGCGGCCTCTTGCCGCCCGCTCGCTGTCGCCGTCTTCCTGTTCGCGGCCCTCGCCTGCCGCCGCTTCGGTAACGGCCCGCAGCCTCTCTCCCTGCCCACAGCCTTCTGCTTTCCCTCCCGCAGTTCTCGGAGCGACCTGGCCCAGCCACGGTCTTCTGGCCAAGTCAGGTGTGGAGCTGGGTTGCGGCCCGCCTCCGATAACTTGGCATCAGATGAGTTTCCCGACGCACCGGGACGCCCTGCCGTAGGTTCTGCTTCGCCCGCAAGATTGCTGAACGGTGATGGGAGCTGGTGGCCGGGAGGCCGGTGAGGCCGCGTTGAGCGGGCCGTGTCACTGTTAGCGTACTTGCTCTCCCTGACTTTGGGTTTTGCCGATCTCCCAGCATAGACTGGTCTGCCAGTTTCTTATTCTTAAGGAAATGTTGGCTTCGTGAGTGGATGTGTTAACTGCCATTTAGAAAATGAATGTAGACCCTAAGTTTATACTCATTTGTTTACGGAAACATCCACTCCCTGGGCTTTTAGGATGGTTGCTTTTGGGCCCTCATCTTCAGGCTTTGAACTTTGGGACTTTGCTTCAGAAATGGCCAGGGAACCAGAGACAGATCCTGTGTTCCCTGGTCTCCAGAGTTAGGGGCGCTTGGGGCATGTGGAAGGACATTTGAATGGAGAGGTGCGCCCAAAGACTTGTGCAGGTGTGTCATGAAGTTAAGATTGGGGGAAATGAGTACCTACAGCTGCTTAAGTAACCAGTAAGTAGCCCGAAGTTCTTACCTCCATCTGTGTCGGGTGCAGCCACACTTGGGCGCCAACCCTGTACAGTGTTTGTGCCTTGCTTGTCTCTGATAATTTAAGAGTTTTTGTCTTTCCTATGTTGAGACATCTAGTAACGCGTTAAAAGTGGCTCTGTTTTGACTTGGGGAAGGCAAATTCGATTTTAAGTGAGACTTGGAGTACCTTTTTCTGTATTGTGATCAGCTGCGTGCTTCTAAGACAACAGAAGCAGGAGCACCTGTCTTGGAAAGCAGAAGGTTGCCAGAAGGGTGCAGGTATGCCCCTGGGGCATTTTGCCTGTTGGTGTGGGTCTCCTGTGCACCCAGTGTAATTTGGCATGCTATGGGACAGAAGATGTAAGCGGCAACCAAGACTTGGGAAGAAGCACTGGCAGATGTCTTTTAGGACCATCCACAGTGTTGTTCACACCTGGGTGACTATAGTTGTCCCTGTAACAGGGACATCTGTGGGCAGCTTGCTTTGTCCTCGAGTGGGAGAGGTGGCCTGTGTTTCTGCCCAGGTTTGTTGGGTACAGTACCAATGGCTTCTCAGTGTCCACAGTGCTGGTCCAGGGTTTCAGGAAGTTTGGATGTCTGATCCTGCCCAGACTTGTTAGGGACCTCCTGGCACTCAAATGGCCCATCTAACCTGAATGTGGCAGCCTGCTTGGCCACCTGCTTCTGCTGGCTGCTCTTGCTGAGAAGAAATAGGGCCATAATAGTGCCCTCTCTGACATGTGCTCAGGGAGCCCACCCCCAGTTTCTGAGGACCCTAAGGATGGAGTTGGGCTTGTCCGTTGAGAACAACAGGCTGAGTGAAAGGTTTGAGAAACTAGCTTATGGAAATAAAGCTGTGACATCTGCTCTCCACTCCAACACCCAAGATCCTCAGGGCCTTCTGCCATTCTGACAAGGCATTGATCCTTCCCTGCCTAGAGCAGTTTTCTTCAGATTTCTCTTGGCTTTGCTCAGTGTTTACTTAACTACCCATAGGATACATCTCAATTGAGAGTGGGCTTCCTGAGCACAGATCACATTGAGTGGCCACTATAGTTGGCCTGTTTGTCGCCAGCAAGAGCAGCCAGCCAAGCCAGCCAAGCCAGCCACAGTGGTACCTGTAACCCCAGTACTCAGTAGGCTGAGGCAGGATGATTGCCTTAAATTCAAGGCTAGCCTGGGCTACATGAGTTAAAAGACAACCTGAAGTACATAAGACCCTATATCTGGAAGCAGAAAAAAAGACTAAACAGCTAGGTATGGTGGCATATACGTATAATCCCAGCACTTGGGAGGCTGAGGCAGGAGGATTGTCACGAGTTCAAGATCAGCCTAAATGTATTACAAAGAGAGACTGTCTCAAAAAAAAAAAAAAAAAAAAAACTTTTTTTAATTTAAAATAAATAGAAGCAGACTGCTGTCCTATGTATGGTAGTGTCTGGCTCTTCCTATCTTACAAGCCACCAGGGGCAGTAACTTGTATCTTCTACTTGGAAAAATTGTGCCCTGATCCTAGCTTCCTGAAAGAGTAAATATTCCAGACAAGTGGCTTGGTGTGAGGGCCTTTGTGGCCATACTTATTCTGGGTCAGTGATCTTGAACCTTCTGGAGCTTTCAATAACAAACAGCCAACTGTGCCACACATACCAAAGGATTGCCACCATTGTCCTAGGTAGTCTTGTTTCATTGTTTGGAGAGGTGTGGACCCATCAGGGCGCTGGACTCCTATGGTGGTTAAGGACAGTTCTGCTTTAGGTCTGAGCCCAGTGTGTATATGTTGGACTTACTCTTGAAGCTAGATAAGGTAGTAGCCATCACTTAGCTCCAGGCTCAGGTGCTAGAGTTGTATGGGCTCTTATGTCCCAGCCTTGCCCTGATAGCCCATGCTGTTGACTTACATTCTCTTTCTTACGAGGACCTGAATACACGTGACTGCTGAAAAAGTCTGTGCTCATTTGGTGATTTGTAGTGGCTTCTGATAGCAATCCCATCCACCCTCTTCCACTTTAATTATTTGGTAAAAGATTTGTCAGAAGACCCCAGTGCATGACCCTACTCATATTCTTAATACAGTAGGACAAAGGAGTCCCAGCACTGTGAGCCACCCTTGTTCCCTTGTGGAGCACACTGAGAGCAGCTGTGCTCCAAGATAAGAAGGTCTACCCGGCTTGTCACCTAGCCTGGCAAATGAAGTTTATGGTTGGTGCTTTTTGGTTGGAGAGGTAGGAAAATTTAGTGGGGTTTGTGAAGGGTGTGGTTTGGTTGGTATGGTAGTTATGGCTCTAGGAGGGGAAGGAGGCCAGCCAAAGGTTTCAGCAAGAACACGGCCTTTCCTTTCAGAGTCAGAGAGCTGGAAGGTTCTTAGTTGAGGCTCTGCCTCAGGATGGAAGATTCGGTAATCCTTCTTGCATGGAAGTGTGCCATCCCACGGAAAAAGAGGGATTCTGGGGCAAGGCCCCATGGATGTGTTGAAACTGGACCTGTGGACAGGATATACCTTTGAGCTGGAGAATGAACCAGGCTAGTGCTGGTCTTCTAAGAGATTAGTGCCACCAAACTCATCACAGCCCCATATTTATGTTATCAGAGGCATTAAGTTCTGCTCCCATGTCGGACCTTTTCCCACAGGAAATGTGTCACCTACAACCCTCAGTGTGAGCCACCTCAAAGAAATGTCCCTCTTCTTGTGAGAGCCTATCTTGATGTTTAGGTATTTGTCTGCAAATGACTGGTACCTAGTGGGTTATAGTCAGGGTACCATTGAGTTGTGGGCACAGTGCTGGCATCATGGCCTTGGGTGAAACTGCTCCTTTACCCACAGCAGTAGGGGTCTTGAGGGTCTCATCCAGGTCTGTTGAGATGGCCCTGACCAGAAGCTTGAGCAGCCTCTTGCCAGATACAGTGCAGACCTGGACATGAGCTTTACCCATTCTCTTTTTTTTTTTTTTCCTCTGTTGTCCTCAAGAATAATAGTTGTCTTCCTGGCTAGGCACAAATCTTTAAGGGAAGGGCTCTGCTACCTATACACACACATTCCAGATGCACCAGGAAAGTTATAACCCATCTTTGCACTCGAGCTCTCAGGCTTCCTTCCCTGAAACTCTTGAGGGTAGGGTGCTGTCCCTGTCACACTGCCTCACTATGTTTCTCAGGAAATGCAGTCTGGCCTCCAGTCTGTCTCCTTAATGTGAAATGCAGGGCACAGTCTACTGGATTGATTGAACCTGGCTCACCTGCTTTTTGGAAATAACTACATACCCTAGCCATTATGTGCAGGACAGTAGAACAGAGATTTACTTTTTTAACCCACACTGTGCTCTTGTCTGTTCCAGGGACTTTGAATATGTCGGGGATCGCCCTCAGCAGACTTGCCCAGGAGAGAAAAGCTTGGAGGAAAGATCACCCATTTGTAAGGAGACCTCTCTTTCTTTGCCACTGAGGGGGTAGCTCACAACCAGCTCCGTGGTCCCTGCTGTGGCCTGTAGCCATTGGGCAGAGGTTTGCAGACCCATTCTCTGAGCTTCTTTCAGGTCCACAGTGCTAATAACGCTTCTGTGACTTTTCTTTCAGGGCTTTGTGGCTGTCCCTACCAAGAATCCCGACGGCACAATGAACCTGATGAACTGGGAGTGCGCCATCCCAGGGAAAAAGGGGGTAAGCCGGCTCTGCTGCACCTGCATAGCACTCCAGCAGGATGAGGCTCAGGTTTAGATGTTGTGGTGGCTGTGATCATACCATCAGGCTTACCATTTGCCAGGTCACGTTCTAGACTTAGATCAGAAGGAAGCAACTACAGCCAGATAGGACTGAGCTATAGCAGGTGGCACGGGCTACATTCTGGTGGGTTTTGGGCATTGAGTTGGAGCACAGGACTGGGGTCCTTGGGAGGAGCTCCTGCTGTTCTCACTGGAGCCTGGGGTTCTGCCCTGTACTTCTGGATGTGGTAAGGTATAGAAACCCTAGTGACACAGTGAGCCAGTCAGTGTTTTTGGGAAGCCAGGGACATGTGTGAAGCCTCAGTATTTCCCTTTTAGCCCATCTGAGTGCTGAACCAGTTGTGTGCGCTTATTGTCCAGCACACGAGGCAAGTGAGGGTCTCCAGAGATTCTGAGGTGTTGGGACTATTCCTGGAGCCTCATTGCATCCATTTCATCCCATTTTGAGGGTAATGAGCCCAATCTTGGTTCTTCTTCCTCTGAGCAAAGCATCCTCTTAGTAGGCCTTTGACCTTGGCTGAGCAGGTGGAGGTTGGGTTTGTACACACATGTATGGGGCTCTGTTGAACACAGTGCAGATCTCCAGCCATTGCCTTTTCAGATGGGCGGATGCTCTCTGAGGGGTAAAGGGGGTGGGATGAGGTGTCAGGATGTGGAATAGCACTAGTCCCTGTCCAGGTGGGCTCTAAGGTAGAATGGAATGAGCAGTTTTCTGAATCTGAATGACAGGTTATGGATCATGGCCATTTGAGAGTCTTGGAGCCCCACATCTTCTCTGAAATCCAGCTCTTGCCTCTATTCCTTTCCAAGGAGAGTGCTCTTTCTAGCTCTCCATGGATCCAACAAAGTCCCCTTGGTAGCTACAGTACAGATTTTGGAGCAAGTCCGTATCTGTTGAGCTTCTGGCCCCAGGGGCGGGCAGTCTTGTGTATTATGGAGACCAGCCTCTCCCTTCTGGGCCTGCCTATGGTAGGCAAGCCACACCTAACCACAATTTACCTCCCCCACAGACTCCCTGGGAAGGAGGCTTATTCAAGCTGCGGATGCTTTTCAAAGATGATTATCCATCCTCACCACCAAAATGTAAGTTCCTACAGGGACCCACAGTCCTCTTCAGAGAGTTCCAGAGCCTTGGGTGGTACAGTGGTATTGGTATGGAGATAAAGGCAGCTCTGGTTGGATGTGGCTCTGATTAGTGTGCAGGCTGTAGATAGGCATCTGTTTCCATTCATGGGGTTGGGAAGGGTATATATTTGGTTTAATCTCTGATCCTAGTTAATGGTGGGAAGGTCCTGGGCCCAGAGCACCTGAACCCTTCATGGCTAACTTTGAGGATCTGCATGTGGTGCCCATGAGTGTCTCAGTCCTAGTGGGGACAGGCTTGCAGAAAAAGCAGACTCATACTCTCTTCCTGATGGTTGCATGTGTATAGCAAGAGCAGGTTCAATCTCCCGCAACAACCAGCCCTGCTGCTACTTACTTGTTGTCTCTTACCATTCATACCCAGCTGTGGCTATGCTTGTAGCTGGAGGGATGCACATTCAATCTACAGGTCAGGGAAAGGCTGATCCATGTTTAAAACGGGCTATAGCAAAATTATCTCAGTGCAGTTTAGCACATCTCAGGAGCAAAGGGCTCCTCAGCTCCCCAACTCAGTGGCTGGAAACCAAAACACTATCCTCAGTCACTCACAAAATCATGTCCACCATACGAAGAAGAACGTTACACAGTGGAGTAAATATTGAGTATGAACTTTCCCTGGGCTAATCTGTAATTCAAGTAGTATTTTCTATTGTAACGGTTCTGTCAATGCTTAAAATTAACAGGTACTCTAAGCACAGATTTGTTTCATTGTGCATTGTTGGCTGCCTTAAATCTTTGTGGTGCTTATTATTTCTTAATGATCTCTTAATTAGAAAAATTTATGAACAAGGTAGATATAACTGTTTTAATCACTTCCCTTCAACATTGTGATGCAGCCATGCAAGAAAAAGAAATTACCTAGGTCAGTAGACATGGTTGCACTCTAGGAAGCCAAGGCAGGAGGATTACACATTTGAGCCTAGCCTGGGCGAAATAGCAAAACCTTGTCTAGAATAAAAAGTAAAAAGAGCTGGGGATGTCATAACTATGTGAAAACCATAAGTTCAGTCTCCAGCACCGCAAAAAAGAAAAAAGTCCTAAGAGACCCTGAAAGGGGGGCCAAACTTCTGACTGCTTGTAAAGGTCACTACAGAAAAGGTTAATGTGTAGAGTAGAAGGCAACAAATGAGAAGTTTAAGCCATTTATTTATTTGGGTTTAGTTTTCGTGTGTTGTTGTGGTTTTTGTTTTTTAAGACAGGGTCTAAGTATGTAGTCCACAGTGATCCTGAACTTAACTATGAACAGGCTGGCTTCTAGGGAAATCCTCCTGCCTTAGTTTCCCCAATCTGGGGTTACAGGCACGTGCCACCATGCCCAGCTATGTGTTTTTTGGTTTTGTGTTTTGTTTTGTTTTTAATAGTCTCATTAGATATTTGAAGCTGGCCTTGAACTCACTGGGTAGCTCAGGCTAGCCTTGAATTTGTAGGGTTCTTCCTGCCTCAGCCTAGATGCCACGGTTACAGACATGTGTTACCATGCCTGGCTCTAATTAAACTACTTAGATGCACTGAAATGTATCCCATAAAAGATAATACTGGACCTCTACACTGGGAACTAGTATTTGTTTCTGAGGTAAACCAGGAGGACACAGACGGGTGGCAGACTGGAGGGCATAACATGGGGAAGACATTCCTCCCTGAAGTGGTCTGTACCAGTCATTGGATCCCAGTCAGAGTCCAGCAGGCTCTAAAATACATGTAGATAGCAAAGGACAAGAACATTTGGCATCCTTGGAGCCCTTGAGGGTTTTAACACAGGCTGAAGCTCAATGTAAGGAGTGTCCACGCTCATTGGTGGTGTGGCTCAGTGTCACACATCAGATATCAAGACCTGTCCTGTGCACAGAGCTTGAGATACTGGAATTGGATGGGAGAGCAGACTCACAGAGGACAGTGGACAGTCCAGAAAGACCACATGTGCATGAGCTTGGTGTGTGACAGGGCCTGCCCCACAAGGAAGGCAAGTGGAAGGAGCGGGTGCTGCACTTCATGATGGGCAAAGCTACAAGTACATGTGGCACCCGTCGGGAGGGAGATGTAGGGTCTGCAGAGGAAGGGGCAGGGAGTATTCAGGAATTGGAGCCAGCATGGACTCGCCAGGAAAGCAGAAGTGCTGGCCATGCAGGAACTATCCACTGGATCCTTTAAAGTTAAGGCTGTCCTCATCAAAAGACACCAGTGCAGACAGAATGAGTCATGGAGACAAGAGGAGTGTATATCTCTTGCTGCTTCCAGTATGTCAAGGGTTCCTGGGTGTCACAAAGAAGAAAGCAAACAACCATGCGATTGTTAATAGGCCCTCACAAAGGAAGCTGTCCAGCTGTCAGCCCACACCAGGGAGGACAGCTGACTCTATCACCAGAGTAGAGGATGTACCTGTATGGAATGCCAGTGTCCTCAACAGGACAGATGTGGCCCAAATGCCAGACATGGGAGCACTCAGGCAGTCACTCACTGGAGAGCATAAGTCCTTTTGAAAGACTTATCTGCCCTGAGTAAGGAAGCTTAACTTCCACAGTTCCACTCTGGGAAACACCCAGTTGAAACATATGTTTGTATGTATCTACCAAGTGAGGACAAGAAAACCATAGCAGCCCCATTGATAACTGTCAAAATAGTCCATATATGCATTAATAATAGCACATGGTAGAGCTGCAGTGATAGCGAAGGGTCTGCAAGGATATAGCACAAGCAAATCTCTCATGTTTGACCCTAAGTGTGCAGACTGAGGATATTGGTGCCCTTTGTGTTCCTTTTGTGCAGTTTACAACAGGCCTTGCTGAGGAGTGAAGTCAAGAGGTCAGGCAGCACCTGCTGCATTTGAAGGGAAGCCAGCAAATCACCCAAAGCAGGCTGGCATCTGTGATGTGTACTTTTTTTTATGTACATTCTTTTTTTTTTTTTTTTTTTTTTTTGTCTTTTTCCTTTTTATCGGTACCGGGGATCGAACTCACAACTGCCTGCTTGCAAGGCAAGTGCTTATGCCGCTGAGCTAAATCCCCAGCCCCTGTACATTCTTTTCTTATTGGCCTAAGAAACAAAATTGGCAGATCAGATTAAAATTAGGCACTTGCATTCACCAAAAGACACTGAAAAGCAATGTGGTAGGAAAGGATGTTTACAAGACACAACCAAGGAGGATTTGAGATATGAAGAGCTTTTACTAGCCACAAGAGATGTGAAAAAGAATGAATGGCAGTGGAGGGACTGTCCACCTTGGTGGTCCCCAGAGAGATGCAAATGAGGACTCAAGAGACCAGGTTCAGCAGTGTGTGGGGCAGCATGAGAAACACAGCCACATCTACTGGGCTTTGTATGATGCCCTCAGCCCATCACACACAGACACATAAGAGTTTGTATCTAGGAGCCTTCACTGCAGCCCTGCCTAGAGTTACGCCACAGTGCTCTTGTCTGTGGCCTCAAGACCTTGTGCAAAACAAGGAATGCTCTGTTACAGCACTAGAATTCAGCTTCAGGTGTCAAAAGTTGGGATGGTGAACAATGGCAAGAGGGCATCTTCTTCATTGACACTAATGGCATGTCCTATTAATGTAGCAAGGTGGGCTACACTTGTACTTTTCTAAGTATTTGAACAACATTTGGAAATAAAGAGGAAGAAGTTACCCAGATAAAAGATGAGGCATACCATGAAGTATCAGCTGGAGGAAAGTCCTGAATGGGACTGTGATAGCAGAGTTTTTTGTTTGTTTGTTTGGTTGGTTTTTGTTTTTGTTTTTGCTGTTTTATAAAGAAGAGACATGGGTCTCTGGAAGCCCACATTGTTATGAAACAAAAGCCAGGCAGTGAAGGCCTTCAGGATGTCCACCCTGATGTGTTCCTTGAACCTGTCCTACTGTACTATGGCTCTTCCCTCACATCTTCCTTGAATCCAGCCAGCTAGAGAAGCACATAGGGAAAGCCATAAGCTAAGTTGACCTGGATATTATTCTGACAGTGATGCTGATTTGACCCTGGTCTTCTGTGTCCTTTGGAAGAAGTATGCTTGCTCTTCTGGTCCCCCCAGGCATAGTTGCTTCTGAAGGAACCTTGCTGTGAGTAGGAAGCAGCATAGAAGTGGGGGTTAGCCTCCAACCACATCCTTCCTTCCTGGTCCTTCAGGTAAATTTGAGCCACCACTCTTCCACCCGAATGTGTACCCCTCAGGCACAGTGTGCCTGTCCATCCTGGAGGAGGACAAAGACTGGAGGCCAGCCATTACGATCAAACAGGTAAGAGGAGCTGGCCCCTCCCTGCCTGTGGTCCATCCACTACCCTGGCCTTTCCTCAAGGCTGAGGCCATGTGACCAGCCACTGAGTCCCACACGTGTTGTGCTATGTTTGTTTCTGATTTTTTTTACGCAGATCTTATTAGGAATACAGGAACTTCTAAATGAACCAAATATCCAAGACCCAGCTCAAGCAGAGGCCTACACGATCTACTGGTTAGTATTGTATTGACTCTGTCCTGCTGGGCACAACCCCCTCCTTGGAAGTGCAGATAGGTACCCATCAGAGGCCACCTGGAGTGTAGTAGCCCAGGAGAGGAGATCCAAGTCAAACAGTGGAGGAAGATTTGGGGAAGCCATGTGAAGTGCCTAGAGAGGCATAGAGGACAGCATCATATCGGGTCCAAAGCCTGTGGTAAGCAAGAATGGGTGACGAGATAGAGATCAGTGACCTGGCTCTCCAGGGCTGCTTTCCCACTGGTGAGGTACAACCAGCTCAGAAGGAAAGCCCCTAGGTCCAGATGCTATAGTGGGCTTGTCCCAGGGCCTCGAGAAAAGCTGCGTCGAGGTCGTGGCTTAGGTCCTGGAGGAGTACAGCATAGGGTTTCTGAGAACAAAGCCTCCAGGTGCCCAAAGGGATTAAAAGGATCTGGTGAGGACCTTGAGAGAGGGTTGTCAAAGGAGTGTTCCTCCCTCTACTTACCCAGCCCAGACACTGCAAGGGTGACCACACTCAGCCAGTCCAGTTTCTGGGACCCCTGGAGTGTGGCTTCCATCCACCTTGCTGTCCTGTGGCTGCACAAGCTCAGCCCGCCCTAGCCCATCATGCAGGATGCTAGGGTTTTCACCAAGTTGCCACAGCTGTGGCCTGCACACTGAGGGCAGAAAATACCATGCTGCACAGACCAAGTGGCCTTGAAGCAAGTGTACCCTGTGCATCCTTGGAGCCTTGTTGCTGTACAGCTCATGTGATGGATTTGGCCTCCCCCAGTCACACGAAAGCCTGTTCTCAGCCCAGACTTGGCATTCCCACATTACCTGGGCTTGTTGCTACTGCCTTGCTTACCTTTTTTGTTTGCTTTTGGGGGTTTTTTTGTGGGGTGAGGTGTCTGTATTTTGTTTGTTTTGGTTGGTTGTTTGTTGGGGGTTTTCATTTTTTGTCAGTAGTAGGAATTAAACCCAGTGCCTTTACACAGGGCTACAGTCCCTCCCACTCTACCCCATTGTTTAGGCAGGGTATCACTAAGTTGCCTAGGTTAGGCTCAAATTGGTGATCCTCCTGCCTCAGCCTTTCAGAGTGTAGGGGATTACAGGCACTACCACATTTGACTTGTGTATTTTTTTTCCCCTGAGCAGTCATTGTCTCTGACAAACATCCATTTCAGAAGCACCTTTTATAAAGTGTATTTGGAAGTCTCAGGTCCCTTTCTCCTTAGTTTCCAGGCCTGCCTTGGCAGGCATCTTGTCGTGGGGACCCTTATGTGGTAAACAGCAAGGTTTGGGTGAGGCCCTGGGTCAGTACTGCCCATGCACATTAACACATCCAGCCCGTCAGTCCTTGGTTGATGGGCACTGGGCCCTGCCAGCTTGACCCAGACAACAGACCCATCATCTGCATAGTGATCCCTTTTTTCCCCATCCCTGGGAGTTTCTGCAAATCCTGGAGCATGAGCAGCATGTACTCTGGTAGGCATAGCACTGAGGCAAAAACACAGGGCTTGGAGAGCCCAGCCTGTCTCTCAATATAGTGAAAGCTCACAGACAAGCTGCAGCTGGCACAACACAGCATCACCCTGCATAAGTGGTCTCTAGGACCTTTGCCCCAAGAAGAATAGTTCTGTAAAACATCATTGTGTTCCCTGGTCCTTGAGGCCCCACTGTTCACTGGTGAGAGTCTGTTGTTCTCAGATACAGCATCAGTTGGCCAGTGTCACCCAAGTCTGGCCAGTGCAGGCTGAGTTCTAAGCCCTAGCTTCTTCCCAGGTCCTGGCCAAAAGTTCATGTCTGTTTGTGGAAATGGGAAGCAAAAACTTAAACACTGAAGCTGGGCATGGTAGTAGACACCTATAACCTCAGCACTTGAAAGACTGATGACAGGTTTAAGCCCAGAATGGGCAACATAGCAACACCCTATCTCAAAATGTAAAAACTCCAGAAAGCAAACTCCTTGGCACTAGGTTTTTCCTGGTTGGGTGGTTTATGTGTGTTTGTTTTGTTTTGTTGGGGGGTGGTTTATTTGGATTTTGAAACAAGGTCTTGGTCTATAACCCAGCCTAGCATCAAAACTGCAGTCTTCCTGCCTCTTCCTCAAGTAATAGAATTACAGGTGTGCAGCACCACAGGCTTCTCCACAACTTTTAATGCTGCCTGAATCTCTGTGGTTAATCTAGACCCATTGGACCACTCAGGAAGCCAAGGCAGGGGGTACTTGAGCCCGGGAGCTCACTGTTATGCCAATCCAGTGTCCATCCTAAGCCCCTGTGAATAGCCATTGTGGTTCAGTCTGGGCAGCAAGCCAGACCCCATTGCCTTAGTAAGAAAAAAGACTGGAAATGGACTTTGTATATGACTGCCATGAGCAGCCTGGGTCCACATGCACAGTTGTCAGGGTGACCATGAAACCTCCCACTTGCTGTCATAGTGGCCATCCTGGGCTTCTGGCATGTGCCTTACTGCTTCTGGCTTTCTGGCTTATCCCTGTGGTTTAGGCTTTGCTCTGCACCTTCCTGGACCCCTCAGCTCTCAGCCCCAGGTGACTTTCTAGGCATGGGCCTCTCCAGGGACTCAGTACATATCCCTGCAGCCCTTTCTAACCTCTTTTTTTTCTTTTGACCTCCTCAGCCAAAACAGAGTGGAATATGAGAAAAGGGTTCGAGCACAAGCCAAGAAGTTTGCACCCTCGTAAGCAGCGGCCCTGTGGCTCTGCAGAAAGGAAGGGATTGGTTTGGCAAGAACTCGTTTACACCTTTTGCAAATCTAGAGTCGCTCATACGGTCACTAGTCGCCTGGGAGGGCTGGGCGGGCGCCATCTCCATTCCCGCCACTGGCATACAGTTTTCATCCGCTGAATCACCCCGTTTTCATACAGGGTCTCTTCCTTCAGTCTTTTGTATTTTTGATTGTTATGTAAAACTTGCTTTTATTTTAATATTGATGTCAGTATTTCAACTGCTGTAAAATTATAAACTTTTATACTTGGGTAAGTCCCCTAGGAGCTAGTCCTATGCTCTCGGAGGCAGGCATGCTTCCCACCGCTCAGAGCTGTCTGTAGCCTCTAGCTGGCTGTACGAGAAGAAAATCACTTGCCCCTCCTGCCCCTCATACAGTCTCCTCAAAACCTGGGCTGTGTTGCTTATGAGCCTCAGATCCAAAGTCAGCTAGTGTCTCAATTCTGCATCACTTCCTTTGTGTTTATATGGCGTTTTGTCTGTGTTGCTGTTTAGAGTAAATAAACTGTTTATATAAAGGTTTTGGTTGCATTATCGTCATTAAAGTGTGAGGAAAGGTGCCTCAGTGAGCCCGACTTTCCTGGTGGGCCACAGCCCAGGACTCAGGACCAGTGGCTATGAGCTCTTTTAGTCTCCATTCTGGGATGCACCAGGTCCCACATGGTTGTATCTTGTGCTGGTTCTTTGTAAATAGGACTGTGTACAAAAGTGTGTATCCAAGGTGTTGCTCTTCCTACCTCTGGATTCCTGGCATATAGAGGACTAGGCAGAGTACAACCCTAGTGAGTCACAGTTGGAATCCAGACCATAAAACATGGAGGTCACCCAGCGCCTGTGAATGGGTATTCATTGACACCAGAGAAAACACAGCAACTAAGACTGACAAGGCTGAGGCCAAAAGAGATCCACAGACAGCAGCAGATGTCAGCCCTCCTTCCGGGTGGCTGCACTATGGATGCTGCAGTTACTTGCTTTCCCAGGAAGTGACTGTCTTCAGCTCTTTGTGTGCCCCACCTAGGCAGCAAGCTTTTTGCCAGGGTGGCAAAAAGCAGTTGCCTTCTTCAGCTGCCAGACTTCGAGGCAGCTATCGGACAGGGTCAGACAGCCTGAGGGGCTCTTGACCTGGGTGATGATGTGATACAGATGCCTTGAGGCACCACTGTCCATGCACTTCTTACCATCCGGTGTGGCTGGGTCTCTAGTGGTGTTGCCTTGAGCCTATGCAGGCCAGCTGGATAGCTGTCCTCTCTGGGCTGAGTGGCCCCTGTCCCTCATCTATGAGCACAGTTCCCACCAGGTTGTTCCTAAGACCAAATTCCTGCTGTAGGAATTGGTTACTTGTGGCTGCAGGAGTGAGCTGCTGCAATTGGGGACCTGTCTGACTCTGGGAGGTTGGGGCCACACACCTAGTTGGCAGCAATGGGCAGAGTCATGTTCATACTTAACTCTGTCCTGGCAGATGGCTGGGCTTTTCAGTGGACAGTTGCAATTTGTTTATCCACAGAGCGGCCTTTCTTGAGGAATTCGGCCAGCTTGTGTATTTGTGTATTCGGCCAGCCTGCGCCCAGAATGTCTTCTTTTATAATGATTGACTACATTTAGTAATAGTTACACATGTATATGGTTACTATATGGAAATTCAATATATTTTATAGTTAAAATATTCTAAAGTAATTGATGTTTCTAGCAAATTGTAGTGACTGTTCATCAGCTATGAACTCCTGTACCACAGTCCTGGGCTTAACAAAGATGTGAATCGTGTAACCTGAGACATGAAATGTGATCATCTTGTGTTTAACCTGAGGGAGGAGGGTGCTCCCAGCATGAGGCCTCATAACAATAAGAAACTGTGGGCAACAGATTAACCACTGTATCTAAAAATCCTCAAATTAAAACATTTCCGCAAATGTCAGCCCTTGGGTTGTGTCCTTTCCTCTCCTATCCCCTCTCTTTCCCCTGCGGTGAAGAATAGGGAGCCCACTCAATACCAAGGAGGCGTCTTACCTGGCTTCCCTCATAGTTCTGTTCTGAACCTGTGGCTCCTGCCCAGGGGATCCTCTATAGTACCCAGCTTCAAGCATGAGCCCTTACTGGAAGTGGGAATGCTGTCTGCCAGCCAAGGTGGGATCCCCCAGTCTCCAGGTCTTAGCACCCAGGATTTGGGACCTGCCTGGAGGAAGCTGACTACAGGCAGTACAGAAGTGGGCCTGTTCTCCCATCTCCCTAGGCACCTGCTTCTTGGGGCTAACAAGACCATGAGAAGCAAGACTTGGCCACAGCACAGAGTTGTTGTCCAAGGCCTGACTGACTGGAACCTGCTGTTGGGCCCCCTCACCTCACCTTCCTGAACTGTCTAGAGGCCAGCCCAGGCTACCTGGGCACCATCAGCCTGAGGCTCTCCAGTCACCCCTGGATCTGCTAATAGCAAGCCACCAGCCTGTTGCCAGGGTGGTGAATTGCCAGATTGGAGGGCTTAGCACTGACTTGGACCTACTGGAGCCTATCTGAGTCAGTTCAGCAGAGGGGCCCAACGAGCCCTAGGCTTGGGGACAGCTCACCTAATACCAACCCTGTTGACCCAAATTAGGGGTGAGGGCTGGCTTTCCACTTCAGCAATACATGAGATTTCTGGAGGCCTCAGATAACTCCCCACCTCTATGGGGAAGCCAGTTTCCTGGCTTAGGCAGTAGTGTACCATCATCCTACCCGTTTCTTGGCCTGACCCAGTCTTGGATTTGCCCTGAGGCCACCATGTCCGAGCTCTTAGGAGGAGGTGAGTATAAGCAAGTAGCACAAAAACTAAGGGTGCATGGCTGGGTTTGTCTTCCCTGGGCCTCAGCACTTTCAGGCCAAACCTATGTTCTTTCTCCAGGAAAGGGAGGAAGACAAATTGCCAACCCCAAGGGAATCCTGCCTGTGAGGAAAAAATCAGGCCCCAGATCCAAGACAAGGGCACTTCCATCCCCAGAATCTGCACAAAAAGGTGGGGATAGAGGGGCTGGATACATAAACCATATCCAACCCATGGGTCTAGGGATCTTCTGATGGATCACTTGACCTCTTACCCCACAGACCTCTGATAAAGGGGTGACTTGAGTGTGTACTTTTGCTAGAAAGGGGCTCTGGTACACCCATTTAGCAGAGCTGATGGGGAGGCCAGAGAGATCAGGGGTCTCTGCACTCACAGGGGTTCTCTGCTTCCCCAAGCTCCTAGATGGGCTTTGTCCCACCAGTGGCCTCTCTCTTGCCCTTCACAGGCCCTATCCTGGGCCTCCTATACATCCCTATACCTAGGGCCCCTCAGAACCAACAACAGACTCAAAATAGCACCAAGATTGAGCTGATACACCCATCAGTGTGGTGGCAAGAGGTTCCCAAACTGCAGGTGGACACTCAGGTGATTACAACCCAGAATCTAGTGTCTCAAGCAAGAAGCCATTCCCAGAACAGACCCTTCCTCTTGAAGCCACTTTGTGCTGGCAGGCATATAGGTTCTTACAATACTCAGAGTCCTCATTGGCCACAGAGTGGAGCTTGCCCCTAAAGGCTGTGCCTGCAATTGCGCAGGCAGCCACGAGGGGCTTGGTGCTTTGCACAGAACAAGCACATGTCGGCTGCCATGGAGCTTGGCGTCCAGAGCCTGGTGCTTCTAGGCCCTAATGAGAAAGTCACAATCCCCGCCTGCCAGACCCTTTCCAGCTTGGAGTCCTTGAGTATGCACACAGTTGGCCCTGAAAAGTGTTTTTTCTCCATGTTCACAGTTAGTCCTGGCCTTCCTGTGGTCCCTGTACATTCACTCCATCTAGGAAGATTGCCCTATGTTACAGATACCTGCTGAGAAATGTCCTGGCCCTATGCTGGTCCCTTACTCCAAATGACAGCAGCTGTCCATTGGTTCAGGCCAGTGAGATCAAGAACCTCCTCTGAGCAAGGTCTGGGGCCCAGGTACCATGAAGAGGTAGCCTGCCCTCTTGGCCACTGCCAGGATCACAAACAATATGAGCTTCCACCCCAAAAAAGAGGGCAGGAAACTACCTCTTGGAAAAGCCAGAGGTCTCACCCCACTAATGGGGAGGACTTCAGTGGACACTGACTTGCTACAAACTGAGACTGGCTTACTTAGTCTCCCCAAGAGCCCAAGGGATGCAACTATTATCTTCCCTTTACAGACAAGAGAAACTGAGGCACCAGGCACCAGAGTAATGTGTTTGGCAGAAGCAAATGGTGCTGGGTTTTCACCCAGGTCAGCCTGACTTCAGTCTCAGAACAAGCAGGGAAGAATGAAGAAAGGGATTAACCACCCTCAAACATCTGTTGGGGGAAGAGCCCTATGAATTATCCTATCCCAGGAAAACTCAACCACAGGACTGGCTTTGGGTTGCAGCCTGTTGCTGTGTTGCTTCAGACAGGTCTGGATCAGTTTTCCCACCTGTTAAATAGCAGTGAGGGTCTCCAAGGGGCCAATCAGTCCCAAAGTCACAGAGTTAGTCTTGGGGGCTGGAGCACCACCCCGTGAAAGCCTGGCAACTGCCCCCCCCATTTCCTGTTTACAACAGCTGCAGACTCATCTCTTCACCCCAAAGCCATTACGATCACCATGGCAACCAGACTGCGTTTGTTCCAACAGGTTGTCAGAACCTGATGCAAGACTGCTGAGTTGGGGGCTCAGCTCAGATCCCAGGAGAGAGGTCAGCTGCCCCTGTGCCAGCTCCCATTGCCTTCAGTGAGACAGGTGGAGACAGAGGGTCCAGGCCCACTCCCCTGCTTATCTGACATACCTGTCCTAAGCAGAATACATTTCCTGAGCTTTCCCCACAAGGCCCCCATTTTCCTGGCTAAATTGGGTCAGGATGGAGGTACGCAAGGAGAACACATCCCATGGTCCTACCTCCCTCACTCTGCCATCCTGTGCAGTCTCCTATCCCCTGCAGACAGGCTCGGGATAGATAGGAGTTGGAATCCACAGCTCTAGACAGGTGGCAATGTCATCTATCCTGGGGCAAGGGGAGAAGCCCTGTGTCCCAAGCTTGGGAACAGTGTCTAGGCTGTTCCCTCCTGGGCTCCCTCTCAGTACCCAGCAATAAAGACGGGGACAGCTGTACACAGTGATCTTCAGACAGGCCTTTGTTCTGGAAGCTGGCAACAGCCTTCCAGAGGGAACTGTCCTTGCCTCTCAGCTAAACTGAGAGGGCACCTGCCCTTCCTCTGCCTCTCTGCTCATTACAGGGCTGAGGTCCCACTGTTTAGGACCCACCCTCTGGAATAAAACCTTCTCCAAATCTAAGTTACAGTATCCAGCAGAAGCAGAGCTGCACCTAGGCGCCTACTGTGCCTCTCCAACAACCCCCAGCATCCCAGCAGCTCCGAGACAGGCATCTTTTCAGAGACCAGAAGACCAACAGATGTTGTTTAACAAACCTTCCAAATTGCCTAGAATGGTGGAGAACATCTATACTGTAATCCCATCACTTGGAAGGCTGAAGCAGAAGGATTGCAAAGGCCGGGGGTGTAGTTCAGTGTGATGAAGGTCCTGAGTTCAACCCTAATACCGCAAAAACAAAAACAAAAAAGTCTTCCAGGTGACTATGGTACAGCTTATTTGAGAGCAGATGCGAAGAAAGCTGAGGATGGGATGGGAGGGCAGGGTTTAGCTGTCTGTGACCTGATAAGGGACAGTGGTCAGCTTGGGCCTCCCATCGTCCCAGGCTCCTGGGTGCAGCTCTGCTTCTCCTGGATACTGTAACTTAGATTTGGAGGTTTTATTCCAGAGGGTGGGTTGTCGTGGGGCGCCCCGATTTGGTTCTGCGAGCTCCTTTCTTCCCTGTGACGCACTGACTGTTAGTGTAGGCGAAGCTGGCTTCCCTGGGGCCTCTGGACCACGACCCCACTGAAGACTACTCGCCCTACACAGCCTGACAGCCCCGCCCTTCTCAGACCTCTTTCCTCCACCTAGCTGTGAGGCCCAGAGTGGCGAGGAGGCCCCGCCCCCGCCCCAAGTCCGGCGCCCACCGCCTGAACGCAAGGCTGTCTCCAGCGACTGCGGCTGCGAACGGTCTCAGGGTCCAGCAGTTCCCAGCACGAGCGACAGTGGCGTCTGCAGGAGCCCCCTTCCCCTGCGCCTCCGGTGAGTGCCGCAGGCTTCAACCGGGTACCGTCGGGGTCCTACCTGGCGCCCACCCAGACGGACCGACAGACTGACAGACCCTCACCCAAGCTGGAACACCGGCGTCTGCGCTTTGCTCGTTGAGGGACTGGGGTGGCGGACAGGTCGCAAAGACGCACCTGCGTCGGGGGAAACTGAGGCCCACATATTCGGAGGGGCGGGGCCGCGGGCAGGATTTCTCCTGTTGCTCTCTCCTGGGCGCAGCGACAGGGTCCGCACTGCGGGACGCGGGGGAGGGGAGCAGGGCCACACCTGAGAGCCGCGGCTGTGGAAAAAGCGACCACCAGCTCCCGCCCACCAGCATCCCGAGGGAGCTCCCAAAGTGGAGCAAGGACCCCAGAGATGCTCCACAGGACTCCTCTGCGACCTTCTGGCAGGACCCCCTGAACCTCTGCCCTCGAGGGACCCCAATCCCACCCCCACGCCACCCAAGAATTTCTCTCCCACAGCTGAGGGTACAACACCGTGCGCCAGTCCAGTCCCAAATACGCTTGTATCTCCCCTTTTCAGGGGAAGCAAGACCCTGGGCATCTGAGGGGTAGGGAGGGAAGGGCATCTCAGCAGGCAGAGGCAGGTGAGTGAGACAGGTAAGAAGGGACCTCAGCAGGAGCACCCCAGTTCCATCCCACGGGTCGTCCTGGGAGACGCAGTTCTGCCTGCAGGCAGCACATACACACACACACACACACACACACACACACACACTGTAGACTGGAGTTCTTTCCTGCAAAACCAGGTAAGCTGCCCTTGGGCATTGCCCTGCCTCCCCAAAGAACACTAAGGCCAGGGGGAGGCCTGCAAAAGGGAAAAACCCAAAAAAGAAACTACCAAAGGGTTAGAGTGTGAGAAACCCAGTGGGGAAGGTAGACATCCTGTCCTACTAGGGAGCACCCCTGTCCAGTGTCAGGAATCCAAATGCCCTAAGAAGGGAATTCCCAAACCCCAGGGCTCTGGAGATGTTTTTAATGATCTGGGAACCAACAAGGGCTTTCAGGCTCTCCTGTGCAGCTGCCTCTAGATCCTTCTGCATCAGCACCCTAAACAGCCTAGCAGGGGACAGCTTGGCTTGCCAGCTTTGGGTTCAAATCTTTGGACAAGGTGCCCGCCTCTGGGCTTGGGACATGGGCCAGTGCTACCACTTTTTGCCCATCGGCCAGGGTAGGAGCCTCAGAGATGGATGGCAAAACCTCCTTGGTCAGCCGTTTACCTTATTCACTGGACAAAAGCAGTGAATTCTGGCCCTGGTGCCCGAAGCCAAGCACACATAGGATGTGAGTATTTCCTTTTCTGTGCTGCTGTCCCTGGATATTCTAATGGTGAGGCGGGAGAGAGAGTCACATCTGGGCCACAAACAGATGGGATCCCCTATGCCTGACCGCTTGTACAGGTTGTTGTCTGGGGCACAGTTAGAGCATCCTAGACAGGTAGCTCCCAGGACCCTGGTTGTTAGATGAGCAAGATTATTTGCTGCCCAGGCAGCCTCCGGGGTTTCCTGAGAGCCAGGGACAAAGTGGCAATTCTATGCATCAGGATGAGCCACCTCTTATGGACACCAGCTGCTGCTGGCTCCATCCTAGAAATGGGCTGAGATGTCCGGAGCAGCTGGATCTGATCCTCAGGCTGTCCCAGTTTAATGCTGGGACACCAGAATCTCAATCCCAGGCTGCCACCTGCTGGCTGTGTGACCTAGGGCTGGTTCATCTGATATCAGGTAGCTGAGCAGCATCGTTGTCTCAGACTGGCCACAGGTGTAACAGGTGAGATGCTGAGTGGAAAATGCAGATGGGGCATCTGGCCCCCTTCTGACTAGACATTTTGTTCTCAGTGAGACACCCCAGCCCTGTAGCTCAGGCTGCTGAGCTTCTGCGTCATATTTGTCTCTGGCATGCAGAGCCCCCGTGGTCCATAGCACTCAGATGTGCTGCTGGCGGTTGCCCTGGCAACAGCTCAGCGGCTGCTCTGCAGTCTTGGGGCACAGAGGGTGCAGCCTCACTGCTCTTATTTCAGCTAGGGAGAAGGAGGGCCTATGATTCCCAGGCTCTTGTGGACCTCAGGACTGTTATATGGTAACAGCTTTGGCTGGGGGGTGGTGTTTGTTTTTGTTTTAGTCATTTGCTTGGTTTTTTATACTGAGGATTGAAACCAGTACCTTCACCACACAGCCCTTATTTTTTGTATCCCCAGGCATTATTTTGAGACATGGTGTTGGTAAGTCACTAAGTCACCTACACTGGGCTCAAATTTACACTCCCAGAGTCCTGCGATTACAGGTGTGCATCACTATGCCTGACTGGGAAAACAGCTTCTGAAACACTCTGCCCAGCCTGATGGCCCTCTAGATTTGAGGGAAAGGTGGTGGAGAGTACACAAAGATGAAAAGGCAGCAAGGCTTCATTTCTGGACTTGAGTGGCACCTCCTCAAGAGTGAACCCTCTTCCTTGTTCTCTACTCTTAGGTCTGGTCAGACAACAACAGCCTTCTGAGCCTAGTACCTTTCCAGGCTCACCAGAACTCTGGTTGGTGTGCCAGCGAACAGGATGAGGTTTTGAACTTGTACAGACCATAGACCAGGGGTGGGGACTCTCCCCCATGCCAGGTGCAGCAGGCAGTGTGCTCAGCATGTCTGGGGCCATCTGGTGCCAGATGTGTCCATCCAGGATGTCTTGGTTGAGCTCAAAGTTCTAAGGAGGAGGTAATGGCAAGTCTGCTAACTTCTCCTGAGATCCTGGGCAAGGAATGGAATCTGCTGAGTCTAGTTCCTTTTGTAAAGCAGAAATAACAGTCCCTTTACAAGAGCTAACATGCCTAGGTAGATGAGTAAGCATCAGTGAGGGAGAGAGATCCAGACAAAAGTTCAGAGAGCTTGTGGCAGGTGTGGTGGTCTGGAGGATACAGTGTATCCTATAAACCAGAGACAGATGAGGTGGAGAAGAGAAGCTGAGGAATGGGCCTGTGTGGCAGAGGTGGCCTCAGCCTCGCTGGGAGGATACTTTTTCACAGATGATGAAGGGTGAGTTATGTGAGGAAGGCACAAGGCTCAAGATTTTTGCATGACCCAGGGCAGAGGTAGGTGTCTGGACAGAGTAGCGTGGTGGAAGAGGGGGCTCAGGAAGCGTTGGTACCCTGGCTGTCATCCTCCACTCTAACATGGGGCTACAAGGGATACTCAGGCCCCACTTAAGGGACTGACCCAGCATGAACACTGAGTTGTGCCTCCCTCCACGATGTAGGTGGGTGGGGCATGGGGACTCAGAAAAAAATGTAAGCAGCCTAACTTTTCAGGGAAAGTCCAGGGCCTGCCACCTGGTAAAGGAAAGTATCATCTCCAGTATTCAGGGGCAAGACTGCTGCTTTGTCCATTCTGTGTCCTAGCCCTCACCCAAATCTGCTCATTTCAAGCCCTGCTCTGCCCAAGTTAATAGCAAGAATAACAGAGCAAGCTGAGCAGGCTCCTCCTCTGGGCAGAAGACTGTTCTCAATCCTAGTAGTGGTGACATCTGGGTAGCTTCTGATACTCCAAGAAGGATATCACAGGCTGGCTCAGTTGCTACAGCAACAGGAGAGTAATTGACAAGATGGACTAAGGAAGAAGGGCTGGCCTTTCCCAGCTGGGTCACACACTTGGGTTCCATTTGTACCAGCTATAGGGAGCAAGTGCTGCTTTAGGGAGTGATTTCCCCACTAATTTTTGGTTTCTTCTTTGAGCCAGCATCTTGATACATAGTTCAGGCTGGCCTTGAACTTGATGTGGAGCCCAGCCTGGCCCTCCTGCCTCAGCTGGAGCTGAAGATTACAAGTGTGCACTATCATTCATGGCTCTATCCTCACCCAACTGTTTATTTCTGACCAGCCCCAGGGCAAAGAGATTTGCTTATTGGGTGAAGACCCCAAAAAACTTCCTCCTAGGCATTCTGCCCATGTGAGCAGCTGGTCATTCCCCAGGACACTGTCCCACCTATGCTGCTCTGTGGCCCCACATAGTGTTTCAGATTCCTGCAGAAAAGGCCCAGGTGACTGTTGGACTAGGGAAACTGGACACTGCTCTCCCAAATCTTGGCCCTTTTGGTGAGGTTCCAGAAGGCACAAGTGCTTCCTGCACACTGTCATAGGTACCATAGGCACAGATGGAGCCCCAGCCTGAACAGGGAGTGACACAACAATCCCTCCCCAGTAAGATCTCAGAAGCTCCACATGGAGCTCTGGTCCTAAGACATGAATTACCACTATTTTCATGGCATCTGCTGCCACATCCCCAATGCCATTCTGCAGGGGATATGGAGGTTCAATAGGTCACCTGGCAGGTGTAGTGACTGGAGTCCTTGAAGGCCCCGATCCAGCCCAGCACCATATTTTTCCTGTCAGCCTCGTGTCCGCTACCTGCCACTATGGGCTTAGTGATAGCTGGCCCAAAGTCATAGGCATGCTTTGCTCAGGTCACCACCATGTCCACTTTGCTGGAAATCAAGAGCAGCGTGCTGAGGCAGGTACAAGTGTGCCCATCCTTCCGCCGCAAGACAGAGCCGGAGCCTGGGAGCACCAGTGCTGACTCACAAGAGCCTACAACAGGGATCTGGTAGGTACCTGCACAGAATGGGAAGCAGAAGTGTGAAGGAGATAGGTGTCAACAAAAGTTCTGTGCTCAAGGCCATGAGTGTGCTGAGCATTACACTGCCCCTGTCCTATGCATGACTCCTGCATCCTGTAGCCCAAGTGCTGACTAGACTCTTTCCAGGAAACCCGAGGATGGCATGGAGTTCTTTGCGCACATGCGCCTCATCCTGAAGAAAGAGGAAGGCAGACAAGGCCTGCCTTGTCCAGAGGTGAGATGCCCCTGCAGAGTTTGGGGTTGCAACCCACCACCTGGATTATCCACCTCAGCCTCCACCCATGCTTCTCTCACTCTTTTCTCCGTGGAGCACCTTTGTCTGTCTTAACCATAGTGTCACAGTGAGGCAGCTACAGGCTGCCCCAAGAACCTCACCACAACACCTGTTGTAGGTCCTCTTACGGAGTGGCTCACCAGCCCCTGCTGAACCTGTGGACCCCAATCGTGGCCTGAGAGCCTTGACCCAGGAGGAAGTAAGAGTTGGGGAGGGCCTGTGACTTTTGTTCCTGGGATTGTGGGACCTAGGGTCTGGTGACAGGTGGACAGCAAAAGTGGGCACACTGGTTGAGTGGAGATAGCAGTGAAAGCACTGGGAAGGGACTGGGCTCCACTAGGGAGGTACCACTTTAGGCTGGACATAGTCTGTGGGCAGCAGGGGCTTGAGGACCTCCTCAAGTTGTCCAGGGACTTAGAACCTGGATCCCACAGGTAGAGATGCTCTATGAGGAAGCCTTGTATACAGTCCTGCACCGGGCTGGCACCATGGGCCCTGACCAGGTGGAGGATGAGGAGATCCTTCTTGGCTACCTGCAGCAGGTGAGTTGGCAGCCTCACACTACTCCCCCCACCGTGAGGACAAGAACCTTCCACTGGTGTCCCTGTCAAATGAACAGCACATAGAACACACACCAAATGTGCACACCAAAGCACCCGCACAGACACATACACGCACAGATAGACAGGCCAACACGCCTGGAAGAATGGGGAGATGGTTAGATGTATGGACACACCTGAAGAGGACACAAGGAGGCACAGAGAAGTTTGGAGAGGACAGACAGATGTTCAGATAGGGGTAGACTGTGGGAAGATATTTTCCCTCCTATATGTGCACTCTAAACTCCTCTTCCTGGCTAGCCCTCCACAACTGTTTCTGCATGTCCCTGCACCTGCTCACACTGCACCTGGCAGCACAAGTGTGCATCACTTGGCTGCAGCCTACTCCAAGCTTTCCTAGGGCAAAGGGGGGGCTCCACTCCCCTATGTTGCCTTCCTCTGAGGTGGGCACTGGGTCATTCCCTTCTGGGACAGAACATCTGGGGCTCCAGGAAAGTGGCCAGCTTTTCTCTGGAGCTCATGTGGGTCCTGGCCACTACCCATGGTCCACAGGTGTTTGGTACCAGCCCTGAGGAACACACTGAGGCCATTGAGCGTGTGAAGAAAGCCAAGGTAAGGGCATTGCCCACCTAGGTGGGGATGGCAAGAGAGGTGTGGCCATACTCACACTGACACTACCCAGTGCCATAAGTTCCACAGTGCTCCTCTGTCTGCAGGCCCCCACATACACCCTGAAAGTCTCCGTCATGCGTGCCAAGAACCTTCTGGCTAAAGACCCAAATGGTAAGTGGGGCCCCAGCAGACCCTGGTTTTTCCCAGGTCTGGCAGCTCTGGAAGACAGAGGGCCAGGTTTGGGCTGATGCAGCTTCCCTGTCTCAGGCTTCAGTGACCCGTACTGCATGCTGAGCATCCTGCCAGCCTCGGCCACCCCTCAGGAGCAGAGTGGGCAGAAGGAACAACGCTTCAGTTTCCGCAAGAGCAGCAAGCACAGCAGTCCACTGCCAGCCAAGTGCATTCGGGTCACAGAGGTCAAGAGCAGCACCCTGAACCCTGTTTGGAAGGAGCACTTTCTGTTGTAAGGCTCCCCACTCCACTGGTGACCAAGTGTTCGAAGGGTAACACTCACAGATTCCCAGTCTCTGCTCCCCCAGAAACTCTGAGGGAGGATAGTCACGTGGGAAACTGACACCAAGCAAGTGTCCTGCCCCCGAGGCCACACAATTGGCAATAGGTGGCAGAGTCAGGATTTGGAAACTTCAGCCTATCTGGATAACTGGAACTCATGGGTTCCCGCTCCAGGCAGAGGCTTTTCCAGTACTCTCATGGCATCTCTGTCTTCCCTACAGTGAGATCGAAGATGTTAACACGGACCAGCTGCATCTGGACATCTGGTACAGGACCCTAAGCCCTGCAGGGTGGGGGAGTGAGTACCTTCAATCTGGGAAGTAGGGGTGATCTAAGCCAGTAGGAGTTCCAAACAAGCCAACTCCTTTCCAGGGATCATGACGATGATGTGTCCCTGGCAGAAGCATGCAGGAAGCTGAATGAAGTCATCGGCTTCAAGGGCATGAGCAGGTACAGTGTGTGGCATCCTTGTGCCCTACCCAAGCCTTCAGCTTGACCACAGGTACCCAGTAGATGGTGGGTCCCCGGTGATCCCCACCATGATGCTGCCTTGCTTTTTGCCCAGGTACTTCAAACAGATTGTCAAGTCAGCTCGGGCAAATGGGACAGCAGGACCCACAGAGGACCACACTGATGACTTCCTGGGTTGCCTCAACATCCCTGTCCGGGTATGTGTAGTAGAGATGGGGTGGTTACAACTAGGGAGCAGTGGTTGTATCTTGGGTTCCCCCCAAGCCTCCTACCTTCCCTGGGCTTCAGGAAAAGAGGCGACCCCCAGTTACCTCTTGTGTTTGGGTCCCATGAATGCTCTGTCTCTTCCCCCTGAATGCACTGGCATGTGTATGGAAGGGGAGGTAGGGAATCCCCTAGGTCTGACTCTTCTCCACCTGACCCTCCCTCAGGAGGTGCCAGTGGCTGGTGCTGACCGTTGGTTCAAGCTGGAACCACGCTCTAGTGCCTCTCGTGTGCAAGGAGACTGTCACCTAGTCCTCAAGCTCATCACCACCCAGGTGGGGAGCCTGCTCTGAGTCCTGGGCCCCAAGCCCTGGGCTCCAGGCAGAGCAGTGACCACAGGCCCTGTGTTCCAGAGGGACACAGTCATGAGCCACCGTGGCCGCTCTGGCTTCCAGTCCTACCTGCTGCTCTTGAGCCGCATACTGCAGTTTGAGCACCATGCACAAGAGGTAGTGGGAACCCTGGGAAGTGGGGCAGCTGGGTAGAGGCTTGAGGACAGCTTGGAGGCATCTTCCACCTCCATCCATCCTGGCCTACTCCCCCAGTCCAGTTCAAGAAGCTGGCATGGTGAGTTCAGCAGGCCTGGGTCCACAATCCTCTGCCTGCATGGAGCCCAGAGTAACCTGTCACCCTTGCAGCTGGCCATCCTGTGAGTAGGCAGGATGATGATATGGGCTGGGTTCTGTGGTACAGCAGGACTGGGTGCTACCTGACCTTGGACTGGGCCCCCATAGGCACTGGCAAGTCAGCAGCCACCACCATCAGACCTGCACGCTGGACTATAGCTACTTGCTGGGGCTGCTGGAAGATATGCAGGCACATTGGGAAGAAGCAGCCTCACTGCCCCAGGATCAGGTGAGTATTTGCACTGCTACAGGCCTGCCTGGTATTGGTGAAGGGTATGCTGGGGTCACCCCTGCTCTGGGTGAGAGGGAGGGGCAGATTCCCGCCCTCAGGTTGAACACAAATGACTGGAGAGAGCACACATGTTATGCTGTATGGAGAGTAGGCTACGTTGGAGTAACCTGGGGAAGGAGGCCATGGATATCAGCACTGAGGTAGTGAGGGTCTGAGCAGGAGGGAAGGAGTGGCACTGGGAGGATGGGACAGGGGAACAGCAGGTGCAAAGTTACTGAGAGGGGAGTTGGGCAGAGCAAGGCAGGGAAGTCATGGAAGCCAAGACTGACTCACACTAGCAGGGAGGCCACCAGAGAGGAATTGGTGGAGGGGCTTCAGCAGAACAAAGCTAGGCAGGCCTGGGATGGCCATGTAGTGGGGAGGGAACTGCTGGAAGGAGGATCAAAGGTGTTTCTCAGCATCTGTGAGCAGGGCTGGCAGGTAGCTGTGAAGAGCCCTCCCCCTACCTACAGGAGGAGAGTCTGGCTGACAGCTTCTCTGCCTTCTCTGAGTATGGGCTGCAACTACTGCACCAGCTCCGAGACTACTTCCCTGCCACCAACAGCACGGCTATCTACCGTCTGGAGCTGCTACTAAAGTGGGTGTCACGAGTTGGGGGTGGTAGCAAAGTGTTGCCCAGGGCAGATCCTGGAGGAAGATCTTCAGGAGGCCTGCACCATGACCACACACCTGACCTCCAGGTGCCTGGACAAGCTGCAGCTCTTCCAGCCCTCCTTTGAGATTTGCCCCTTTGAAACAGAGCTGAACGTGGACGTCACTGCTGCCCTGAAGGTGCATTTGGACCCCTCTGGTCCTACCCAACCTGTGACTCATGACCCCTCCCCTAATCTCCCTCTTTCCCGTCTTTCTCCCCTACCATGCTGCCTGGTGGCTTCCGATGCAGAGAGGCAACCGTGAGTGGTACAACAGGCTCCTGAACTCCAAGAGTCCCCGAGAACAGGTACAGATTGGCAGGGCTTGCCTATGGCGGGTACCGGGGCCCAAGCAGTGAATACAAGCCAGGTCTCCTTGCAGTCAGGGCCGCAACGCCTCCCAGGGCTTGTGGAACTAGCAGACATCATCTATGAGGACCTGCAAGCCTGCTATGGCATCTATGCCAGCCTCTTCCATGGGTAGGTCCTGCTGCTCAGCACCCATGTGGAGCAGGTGGGGATGATGGGGTCTGCAGCAGGGGTAGGTGGCTGAGGCATGTCCTTTGCAGCATCCTCAAGGTGGACTTCTTCACCCTTACCTTCCGGCAGTTAGAGCGTCTGGTGAGGAGGATCCCAACTGGGTGGGCCGGCTGGGCATGGGGCAGCAGGGAGAGCCCCCAGCTAAGAAGGACCCTGGTTCTTTTGTTGGTCTGACACCACCTCACTCCCAAAATCTGGGCAGTTGGCTGAGGAGGCATGGGTGCTGACTGAGGAACTGAGCCCCAAGATGACTGTCCAGGTGGCCTCAGGGCTCTTGGAACTGTACCTGACCCTGGCTGACACCCAGCGCTTTTGGAGTTGTATCCCTGGCCGGTAGGTACCCCCAAATCCTTGCCTCTTCCAGATAAGCTCTGAGACCGAAGCCCCAGGGCCCTGTGCTAGAGGCTGCCCTGGCTATCTGAGTTGGGACATGCTCTGACCCTATTCCCACCACAGGGATGGCCGTTCCCTGGCTCTGGCTGGCATCCATACCCCATTCTTGCCTGCTGTGAAGATATGGCTACAGATGCTTCGAGACCAAGTCAAGTGGCGCCTCCAAGGAGCAGTAGATGTGGACACGGTGAGTCCGTGCTTGGGCCTAATCACACTAGGGCTCGTCCTGTGCCACCTATGATGCAGGTTACCTCCTGCCTTCCAGCTGGAACCTGTGGATGCCTCCTCCAAGCACAGCAGCTCCGCAGCCACTGCCAGCCTCTGCTTCAGCCACATCCAGGAGCTCTGGGTCCACCTTGCATGGCCTGACCCTGCTCAGGCTCAGGGGTTGGGGACTCAGCTCAGCCAGGTATGGCACCTGGGGAATAGGGAAGCAGGTTGGGAGGACTCTGGGACCTGGGAGGAGCCCCAGGTCCAAGCCCTCTGTCCCACCTCCACCCCAGGACATGTGTGGGGCAGCCCTCTTCTACACAGAGCTGCTGAGGAAGAAAGTGGATACACAGCCCAGGGCTGTTGACGAGGCAGTGAGCGAGCCGGTGGGTGGCTGGCCAGGCAGGTGAGGCTTCAGGTGGCTGGGTGAGGCTGCCTCCTGAATGCACCCACCTGCCTTTGCCTGCTCTCTGCAGCTTTGTGTGGTGCTCAACAATGTAGAGCTGGTGCGCAGGGCTTCAGGGCAGGCACTGCGGGGCCTGGCTTGGCCTGAGGGTATTGGGGGAGTAGAGACCACGCTTCCCCGAGCCCTCCTCAGCTGCACACAGGCTTTGGAGGAGGACCTGGAGCATGAGGCCCACACAGTGACTGCACACCTGACTTCCAAGGTGGGCAGTGGGCCAGGGCCTGGTGTGGGAGTCGTCCCTGGTATCCCCTACCTGATGCTGAGCATCACTCCTGCAGATGGTGGCTGACATCAGGAAGTACATGCAGCACATCAGCCTCTCCCCAGACTCCATTCAGAATGATGAGGTGTGTCGGGGATGAGAAGTATAGATGTAAGCATGTAGTACATGTAGGGACAGCTGGGTTCGAGGTTCTGGCTGGCCCTGAGGATCTCTGCTCACAGGCAATAGCTCCACTCATGAAATACCTGGATGAGAAACTGGCCCTGCTGAATGCCTCCTTGGTAAAGGAGAACCTAAGCAGGTATGGGCCGTGCAAGTATGAGCTGAGCAGGTGGAGAGTGTGTGGCCTGGCTGTGTGTCACCCATGCTGTGCCCCTGCAGGGTGTTGGAGGCCCTCTGGGAGCTGCTCCTCCAGGCTATTTTGCAGGCACTGGGTGGCAACAGTGACGTCTCTGCAGACTTCTATGGACGCTTCCACTTCACATTGGAGGTAGGCCATGCAGAGCTCAAGGGACCTGTCCTGTCATTTGCCCCCAGCCTCCCTACCATCTCCTCCAGGACTGAACAGGCACCACTTCCTTCCCATAGCCCAAACACACCTGGGCCACTTGGGTTGACACTTTTAAGGGCTCATTCCTGGGACCTCATGCACTTAGTTGTGAGAAGTGGTTTGCTGTGGCTCCCAAGACCCACAGCTGCTCCTGCTCAGCTTCCTGACATCTTTTTCCTCTTTCCCTGCCCTAGGCTCTGGTTAGTTTTTTCCATGCTGAGGGCCAGGGACTGCCCCTGGAGAGCCTCAAGGATGGAAGCTACAAGGTAAGGCCTGGCCCTCTGGGGACCCAGCTCCACCAGCTGCCTTGCAACAGATTAGGAAGGCTGAGGCAGGGTAGATGCGGCTTCAAAGGGCACCTGGCTGGCTGCGGGCAATATCACTAGGTCTCTTTCCCTGCAGAGGCTGGAGGAGGAGCTGCGGCTGCATAAATGCTCTACACGTGAGTGCATCGAGCAGTTTTATCTGGATAAGCTCAAGCAGGTAAGATGGGTGTTGTCTGCTGTCTATGCCTCACAGCACCCAGAGCCCCAGCTCTGCTCACTCATCTTTCCCACAGAGGTCCCTCGAGCAGAATCGCTTTGGGCGCCTGAGTGTCCGCTGCTATTATGAGGCAGCAGAGCAGCGGCTGGCAGTGGAGGTCCTACATGCTGCAGATCTGCTCCCCCTGGATACCAATGGTGAGGCATGGTGGTGGTGTAGGGGGCCTGATGGGAATGACTTACTCATGGCCATGTGCCCTCCAGGCTTGAGTGACCCTTTTGTGATCGTGGAACTTGGACCTCCACATCTCTTCCCACTGGTCCGCAGCCAGAGGACCCAGGTCAAGGCCCGGACATTGCACCCCGTGTATGATGAGCTCTTCCATTTGTGAGTGCTCCTGGCTATGCCCCCCTACCCTACAAGGTCACAAGTGATTCCTGGCTATTCCCTAACTGTCCTATGCACAGTTCTGTGTCTGCAGAAGCATGTCGCCGCCGTGGGGCCTGTGTGTTATTCACTGTTATGGACCATGACTGGCTATCTACCAATGACTTTGCTGGGGAGGCAGCCCTTGGCTTGAGTGGGGTCAGCGGCATCTTGAGGCCCCAAGTAGGTGGGGGAATGAGAGCAGGGCAGCCCATCATCCTGCATCTGCGCCGGCCAAGAGCCCAGGGTGAGTGAGAGTGAGGAGGTGATGGGGTCAAGGGAGGGAGGTGTGGCCCACACATACCAGCTCATCTGCCCACATGCCTGCAGTGAGGTCAGCACTGAGGATGCTCGAGGGCCGCACCAACAAGGAGGCACAGGAATTTGTCAAGAAGCTCAAGGAGCTGGAGAAATACATGGAGGCAGACCCCTGAGCAACCTCATCCATCAAGCTGTCCAGCTTTGTGCTCCCTTTATCTGCTGCTCAATCTGAACCCTGTGGCACCATTACCCTTGCTGTGTTCCTTTGGTGTATTCTATGAACTCCTTGCACTGCAGTATGGCCCACCCCACAAATGGAGGCCAGCTAGGAAGAAGCTGCCCAGCAGTGCCCTGGACTCACAGCAGAACAGAATAGACCTAGTCAGGTGACACTCCTCCTTTGGGCCCACAGGCAGTGGAACAGTGAGCAGCTGGTTTCAGTGGTCTCCTCTTCCCTAAGAGTCATGAAGCAATGTCTGAAGACTGTGATATGAAGGTGTACTAGTTCCAGAGGGTGGTGACAAGGGATATGCCTCAGGATCCTGCAATGCATCAGTCAGCCCCCTAAAAATGGTCCATCATCAGTATGAGCAGTGCCTCCACGGAAAAGCCATTCTTGGAAGAAAGTACCCAGTCTCCTTGGTTAGGGCAAGGCCCCAGTAGTCAGGAGGTAGAGAGGCTGGGGGTCAGATTTAGAGGACTCAAGAATTAGAGGGAAGCAATGACCAGGGCCCCAGGTGGAGGTCAAGAGCAAGAAAGTTTGACATGCTCAGTTTGCCTCTCCTGGCTCTGGACCCCTCCACAGCGGGATGAACAGGAGAGACTTGCTAAGAATCACAGCTCACAACTAGGTTACTAAGCCTGGGAGAGGTTCCCCCATGGTTACTGTGAGGTGAGGGATGTCCACCCACAGCTCTGTCAACCAGTCTTCCTTTCATGCAAATGTGTGACCTCATAGCCCAAACCCACCCAAGTAGGAAACCAAAGTCCAAGCCAAGTGCACACAGACACTGGAGGCTCCTTCTCAATCCACAGCTTCATTGAGATCTCCAAAGTAACTCCAACCCACAAGCCCCACCCTGTCCACAACTACAGAGGCTACCACTGCCAGGCCTGTCCACCTGTGTTTTATGCTATCTCTGGAGTCCTTATTACCCTGCTTCAACAATGTATCTGCAACCTTCAGACTGCAGTTTCTTGATTCTTTTCTAAATCTCACTGGAGGTCCTGGCCTCATCCCCTTGTTCCAGAGTCTCTTTCTGGGAGCAGCTGTTGGTTTCTCCATTATTGTTTTCAGGTCCTTGTTCTTCAGATTCATCACTATCATCTGTGTCCACAGGTAGCCTAGGGGGAGAGGGTATGTTCTTTCATGGTGTCATCCCTGGTCACTCCAAAGCAACCTTTGTGTCCTTACTCACAAAGCCTCCAAGTCAGACACCTCTCTCACTCTCTGCTAAGCCAAACCTCCCTGGTGGATGTCAGCTTTACATTCTCAGTCACCACTCAGGTGTCACTTAGGACACCCCCATGAACAGGAGCGAGGGCTAGGGGTCAAGGGAAGTCAGTACCTACCGGATGGTAGTCACAGGCCTATTGGGATTTGCAAACTCTCGCCCTGAATCCACATCGAATGGGTCTGAACCAAGGGAGGAAAGAGGAAGATGAGCTCTAAGCCCAGGCCAGATGAAATCCTACCCCAGACTTTTCAGGAGGTGTAGGCCTAGAGGGGTTCCCATTCATGCAGGCCTCACCAATTTCCTCCTCTTCAGGGGCCTCCTTGGCAGTAGCTAAGTACTCCTGCTCTGCTTGTAGCACTTCTTCAGGTCCACTGCAGGCAGCATACTTGTCCAGGAGCTGGTGGTTCAGGTTCAAGAAGCCTTTGCCCCACTTAAATTTCCTCAGCAAAGTGACAGCAAGATCTGAAAAGCCTGAAGGCACAGAAAACCTGAAAATCTCAACAATCCCTCTAGTGTAGTGGTGGCAAAACTATAGCACATGTTTGTATCACTTAAAGCTCTAACTTCTTCACCATTACAGCTCTAAAGAGAATGTCTTTGTAACCCTGACTGGTGGGCAGTGCTACTGTGCCAGAAGTCTGGGCGTCCCCACTAGACAACTTAAGAGTCATGTCACTTCATGCTTGCTCTCCTGCCTCTATCTTGGTACAACCCCCATCTTTGCCACCCCTAGGTCTCTCCCCTTTAGTGAAAAACACAAGATTCCCACCAGGCCTGACCTCACATCTAATGGGCCTCTCTCTAGTTCTCTCTTTGGACCTTAAATTCCATGGATTCTCAGGGCAGTGCTGCCTGGACATACGTCCCTGCCTACCTGGCAGGCAGCTGTCTCATTATGCCTCCACTCCAACTCTGAAGGCCCAGGCTCTAAGTGGGAGTTGGGATTGAAGGGCTGCCCTGATGTCTAGGGGTTTACTCTAAGCAACCACAGTCATGGAAGCACAGTATGATCATCAGACCAGACTGCCAGGTTGGGTAGATGGTAGGCCTAAAACTCACCCACAATATAGAAGGCAGCAGCAAAAGCTTCCACGCAGGAAAGTCTGCAGGGCCTGCCATAGTTTACAGGGTTCGCAGCCACCAGATAGGGTAGCAGTCGCAAGTGGTTCCCTCGCATCTTCCCAAAGGGCGTCTCATCCAGTCTGGCCCAAGAGCAGTCTATGACAGCAACCCCAGCCTGTGCCACCAGCTGTCTGCAAGGACAAGACAGGGTAAATTCTAGGTGCTAGAAGCACTTAGATGATGGCCTTAAGTGACACATGCTCCTGGAGACATTTCACTAGGGATACGGGACATCATTTCCTTATCCCCAAATATCTACAAAAGCCCCTTGTGGGTAAACTTTTGAGGCAGTTGCTGATAGTATCTGAAGAATGCTTATTCACTTATAAAACGTTTATCTTAGGCTCTCCTATATCTTAGGAAAGGGGGCAAATTAAGACAGACATGCGCATGCTCATGTAAAGAGTATGCATACATGGCACACAAGAATAATTATATGGGGGCTGGGGATTTAGCTCAGCGGCATAAGTGCCTGCCTGGCAAACGTGAGGTCTTAAGTTCGATCCCCGGTACCACAAAAATAAATAAAAATTTAAAAATATCAAAGACTTCTCCAAGTAGTAAAAAAAAATTTTAAAAATAGGAGCTGGGGATTTAGCTCAGCGGCATTAAGCACCTGCTTGGCAAGTGCAAGGTTGTGAGTTCGATCTTCGGTACCGCCACAAAAAAAGAAAAAAAGTATATATATATGAACCCTGAAAGGAATGGATGGAGACAGAGTAGCTTATAAAAGACTAGAAAGTCGAGGTAGGCACCCCTTTCCCCGCCCCAACCACCCTGGCCTCCCACACGTACCTGTCCGCCGGGGAGACATACAGGGAGCCCACGGGGCTGAGTACCAGCCCGCCGAACCTGTGACCGAGTCGCAGGCAGCGCACCAGGCCCAAGCGGGCCAGCTTGCGGCCTGTACAGCGCCGGGGGTCGCAGTGGCCCAGATCCCACATGGCCAGCGCGAAAGGGAGCGTGGCTGGACTCTGGCCGCCCTCGTCCTTGGCAGCCTCTGGCTCCACAGACGCTGCACCGGGAGAGAGAAGGGTCTCCGCCTCAGCGCGGGCTCCCAGGCACGACCCCGATCTGCACTCCTAATCACTCTCCACTCACCGCGCAACGCGGTGCCCACCTCTTCGGGGAAAGTATCCATGGAGCGGCCCTGGGGACGCCGAAGGCGGCTGCCCTCCGCCCCTGACCCGCGCGTTGCCCGCCGACGGCCCATCGCAATGAGCACAGGTCCTGAAGCCCCAGAACACTCCTCAGCCACCGCGCGAGTGCGTCGCACAAACCAGGGCGCCACTTCTGGTTTGCGTCGCTTGAGTGACGCCACTTCCTGCTCCCGGCTTCACGTGACCGCGCAGCGGCGCGATGGCGGCGTGGCTTTCCATGTTCCTGTTACAGCTCGGGCTTGCTGTGAAAGGTTAGTGTCGCCGACTGCTCCTTCTGGTTCAGTCCCCCCTTCCGCCCTCCGGTCCCCGAGCTTCCCCGTGCGCTTCCTCACCACCTCCCTACCTGTAGGGCCGACGCCAACCGGTGCTGCGAAGATGAAGATAGTGGAGGAGCCCAACGCGTTCGGGTGAGCCCATCTCTTGTTGACGGCTCCGGGCGGAGGCCTCCAGGGCAGTCCCCTGATTTGTCGTGTCCTTAGGCTGAACAACCCGTTCCTGCCCCAAACCAATCGCCTGCAGCCCAAAAGAGATCCTTCGCCCTTGACAGGTGAGCCCATGCACCAACAGGCGGGCAGCTGGCTTGGGTGCCGACAAGGCGGACCAGGTTTCCCTCTTCAGGGCGTTGGGGAGAGCCCTCTGTTCGAGAGGGAAGGGTGGCCTTTGATGAGAGGCCCTGAGTTACTGCCTGGAGGCTCATGTATTTGTCAACCTGTGAATGTCTTTAAGTGTGGGAGAATATATGTGAACGTTCTTGTACCGAGTTAGGTTGGCTCCAGACCTAGTCTTGCGTTCAGTCTTTAGAGTTAGGCGCTGTTAACTGTCTCTTTTCATAGGTGCTTTGGTGTTTAAACAGAAAACGTTCTAAATGTTTGTGGAATGAATTTATTTAGAGACAGGATCTCGCAATGTGGTTCAAGCCGGTCTTGAACTTTGTAACCCAGGCTGATCTCAAGCTTGCTGTGATACTCCTGCCTCAGCCTCCCAAAGTGCTGGGATTATAGGCATTTGCCACTACACTGGAAACTTTTTCTTTTCAAATTAGTAGTACTATGTAGGTGACTGGCTACTTGTCTTTGTGTTACTTTGTCGTTTATCACTGTCAGGGAGCTCTTCATGGTCCTACACAGAGATCATCATTCTTTTTGCTTAGAATTCTGCAAGATGGCTTTATTATATTCCTTTCTTAGCAAGTATTTAGGTTATTTACATTTTGGGATGTAAATATTATATTCCTTTCTTAGCAAGTATTTAGGTTATTTACATTTTGGGATGTTAGAAATAATGCCATGAAGAATATCCTTGTAGATGACTGTCTACCCTTGTACAAATAGATTCCTAAGGCAGAATCAAAGAAGTTGAAGCTTGAGTCATAGAATATACATTTTGTTTTAGTTTATTTGTTAGTTTTGTTTGAGATAGGTTCTTGGTATTCAGTCCAGACTGGCCTCAAACTTATGATCCTCCTGTCTTGGCCTAGTGCTGAGATTTCGGGTGGGTGCCTGTGTGCCCCCACCTGAGCATGTACATTTTAAGCATTAAGACACAAAAACCCCAAAATTTTCTTATTGAGTACCTCTATGTGTTAGCATCGGGCTGGATTTGAAGAAGTAAAACATCCTGGGACACAGGTCACAAGGCAGTGCTGGATCAGAGTGTTTCCACTCTGTTGGGTGTACTGCTCATTTCTCCAACACCGTGGATTGGTCTTTGCATCTTCTTATGCTCCTGAGTCATGGGTCTCTTTAGCACTCTGGCTATCACTGGAGAAAGCAGCTGTGCTCCCCTGCTCCGCCCTTCCTACCTGAGCTATTAGCTTCAGGGGCCTTCTTCAGCCCTCAGCCTTGTTCTCTCCTCAGCTTTGTTACATGTTACCACAATTTAAAAAAAAAAAATCCTACCCCGGAGTTGTGGCATACACCTATAATCCCAACATTAGGGAGGCTGAGACAGGAGGATCATTGTGAGTTTAAGGCCAGCCTGGGTTATACAGTGAATTCCAGGCCAGCGTGAACTACACAGTGAGACCTTGTCTCAACAACTCCCTTACCACCACCACCCCAAAAAACAACCCAAAAGTAAATCGTAGGGCTGGGGTTGGGGCTCAGTGCAGAGCTTTTGCCTTGCCTGCAAAATCTTCTGGTTCTATCACTAGCAGCAAAAGACCAAAAATCTAAAACAGTTTGTCGTTTGACCACCTTAAAGTGTACAATACTGTGGCACAACTTTTCACACCCTAGGTTTAAACTGCTCTGTTAAGTAGTTCTTGGCTTCTTCCCCAGCCCTAGCTGCCATTACCCTACTTTGACTACTCTATAGATCTTAAAAGTGAATCAATCGGAGGCTATTTGTCCTTTTGTGTGTGATGTATTCTGCTCACCATATTGTGTCTCAAAGTCTATCCACACTGTTGCAGGTATCAGAGTACTTTTTTTATGGTTGAGTAACATCCCACTGTGTAGCCAGAGCACATATTTGTCTGCTGTTCTCACCTCTTGTCTGTTGGGACTAATGCAGATGTGAACGTGGTTTTCCACTATTTGTTGCACTCCTGCTTCCAATTCCCCGGAGTAAGATGGGTTCAATCATAACTGAGTGTCTTACTTTCCTCATGGCTAAAACATAATACATGACATCCATGACTTGAAGGAAGAGAGGTTTATTTTGGCTCACAGTGATAGTCCAAGGTCATGTGGCTCCAAAGTACAATGGCATGACACAGAAGCATTAACAGAGAAAGAGCTGCTTACATTATGTTGTCCCCGGAGGAGCCAGGAAGGAAAATATAAACCTTCCTAGTTACTCACCTCTTCTGACCAGGCCCCACCTAACAGCAAGACAGCTGTAATGTTCTATAATCCAATCACATTTCAGAGATCTTCACTATGCATGAGGCTTTGTAGGGACATCTAGATATCATTTTTAGGATGGTCTTTTTAAAAATATTTATTTTTGGTACTGGCAATCAAACTCATAACCTTATGCTTCTTGCCAGGCAGGCCACTGAGCCAAATCCCCAGCCTCAGGATGGTCTTTTTCATTTTAGTGACCAGTTCTTGGAATGATGAAGCCAGCCTGGGCCTACAACAGTGAGTTCAAGGCCAGCCTGAACTCTACATAGTGAGATCCTGTCTCAAAAAGAAAAAAAAAATAATTTGCAATCCAGTTTGTCTATTTTTGATGCCTGTGCTTTAGTTATAATCCAAGCAATCACTTCAAAATTCAGAGCTCAGCAACTTCCTCATTTTCAAGAGTTTTAGCTCAGTATTTGACCCATTTTGTATATGTCTTGAGGTTAGGGTGCAGCTTTCTTAGCACTGTTGAGATTGACCTTTCATCATTGAATGGTTTTGGCACTCACATCAAGTCATTTGTATATCTGAAGATTCATGCCTGGGCTTCTTATTCTCCTCCATTAGTCTATATGCCTGTCTTTATGAAAACATAGTGTCTTCCAACTGTATTCTTTTTCAAGACTGATTTCATTACTTGGGGCACTTTGAGATACCATGAACTTAAGAATGGGTGTTTATTTTATTAAAAAAAATTTTAAAGCAAGGATGAGAGGGGGCTGAGTTTTAGCAGCTTGGGCACCTTCCTGGTATGTGTAAGGTCATGAGTTCGAGTTCCAGTACCCAAAAAAAAAATTAAAGCAAGGATGGGTATTTCTGTTCCTACAGTGTCATTAGAATTTCAATGAGGATTGCACCGTATCTCTACTTCAAGTATTGACGTTCTAAAATATTAAACCTTAAACAGGTATTTTCCCATGTAATTTTGTTTTTCAGCAATATTTTAGTTTTCAACATATAAGATTTTTTCCTTCTTGGTTAAAGAAGGAAAAAATTTGTGTATTATTTATTTGTGTATTATTCTTTACGATGCTATTGCAAATGGAATTACTGTTTTTAGATTATTTTCTTTGGTTGTTATGGTTCAGATCTAAAATGTCCCCCAAAATCCTCAATAGTTCATCCACTGATGGAGTTCAGTAGCATCATGCTGTTAGAAAGTGAGTATCTCAGCTCCTCTCTCATTCCTAGCTTCCATGATTTTAGCACCTTTCCCTCACCATGCCCCTCTGCCAGCCTTGCAGCCAGCCAATCTTAAGACTGAAACTGAACCCACATGAACCTTTCCTCCTTTAAGTCACTGGGGGTGAGTACTGTGTATCAGTGATAGAAAACTAAGACATTGGTATCTAGAAATGCAACTTTTTGTTTTTCTTACACAGGGCTTCGCTGTGTAGTCCACACTAGCCTTGTACTTGTGATGACCTTCTTGCTTTAGCTTCCTAAATGCTACGATTACAGGTGTGCTACTTTGCTGGTTTTGATGAGGTTGAGGTCTATTTAACATCAATGGTATCAGGATGTTGGGCTCCTGTGGTATCTCTTTTTGGCCTTGGTATCAGAGTAATGTTGGTCTCTTAATTGTTTGAGACCGTTAGTTCTTTAAAATGTGTGGTAGAAATTACTAGTGAAGCTGTCTACTCAGGCTCATCTTCTATCTGGAGATTTTGGACAATACCAGCTCTTTACCCTCTGCGGTACATTTTAGATGACCTGTTTGCATGATTCAGTCTGGGAAGCTGTGTTTTCTGATACATCATCACTTTCATTTAGGTCATCAGTTTGTTGGTGCATAATTGTTTCTTGGGTTTTTTTTTTTTTTTTTTGGTCTTTCTGAGACAGCCTCACTATGCAGTTCAGGCTGACCTTGAGCTCACTTTGTAGCACAGGCTGGTCTCAAACTCACAGTGATCCTCCTGCTTCAGCCCCTTGAGCATGGAATTATAGGCATGTGCCACCATGCCCAGCACCATTTTTGATTTTAATGATTTCAGTCTTCCTTTTAGTCTTAGTCTACTTTTATCTTTTCAAAGAACCAACTTTTGGTTTTACTTTTTTTCCTAATTTATGAATCTCCTTTGTGATCAGAAAAACATGTTCTGTTATGATCTCAGTCCCACTACCCACGTTTGGCAGTATTAGGAATTGAACCCAGGACCTTCACACTCAACTGTATCCCCAGCCCTTTCTTATTTAAGACAAAGTCTCACTAAATCATTACATTGTCCAGGCTGAGCCTGTGGGCTTTGTTTTTTGAGACAGGTTCTTTTTTGTGCATGTGTGCATGTTTGTTTTTGAGTCAGGCTCTCACTATGCAGTTCAGGCTGTCCTGGAGCTCACTTTGTAGCTGAGATTAGTCTAGAACTTGCACTGACCCTCTTGTATCAGCTTCCCAAGTGCTGGGATTACAGAAATGCGCCTTGAAAAAAATGCATATCGTGTTGCTGAATGCAGTGTTTGTATATGGCTGTTAAGTCCAGTTGGTTTATAGTGTTGCTCACCACCAGTTTTCTTTCCCCTTGATCTTCCGTGTAATGGTTCTATATTATTAAAGGTGGAATACTGATGTCTCCAAATGTTACAGTACTACTGTTTTCTCCTTTAATCTATCAACATTTGCTTCATATATTTTGGAGCTCTTCTGTACATAAAATTGTTGTACTTTGGTGAACTGTTCGTTTTATCAACATAGTGTGCTTTCTTGAATGGTTTGTTACAGTCTGTTTGGTCTGATGTTAGTATAGCCATTTCTGCTCAGTGGTGATGCATGGCCTGTCTTTTCAGCCTTTTTAGAGCAAAGTGATTCTCTAGCATCTAGTTGAATCTTTTATTTTTTATACCAACTTCAGTTGCATACAAAAACTGTCACGGCTCCATCTGTAATTTGTCACAAATTGCATCTTTAACATTGTGTGACTGACAGATTTATATTAGTTTTTCTACTTTAGTTTAACCACAGATTTACAAATCAGAGATACGACAGTCTGGGTTTTCTTGTTGGCCCAAGTATTTGTCTGCAGTGGAAAGTTTGGTTCACTTTTCTTATCCAGGCTCCAGCTGACATTTCTTTTTTTTTGTCTGTTTGTTTTTGGTACCAGGGATTGAACTCATAACCTCCCACTTGTAGGGCAGACACTTATGGTGCTGAGCTAAACATCTGGCCCTCGTCTGACATTTTGGCTAAGGTAGCTCTACCTATATGAAGAAAATCTAATTTATCATGTCTTGTTACCTAAGAATGTCCCTACTTTTTTTTTTTTTTTTTTTTTTTTTTGGTGGGGAGGCACTTGTTAAGAGATTGAGCCTAGGACCTTCAGCATTTATATTGCAGCTCTAATGTTGTGTAGCTGCTCCTAAGAGACTCACTTGAGCTCCAAAAATAAACAAATGGAAAGTGAAGGGATAGAAAAGATTTACCAAACAAATACATATGCATGCTCTTGTCCATTGAGCTACATAGCCCCCTCATTCTGGAAGAACATTTTCCTGGATGTACCGTTTTCCATTGGATTGCTGGATTTTATGGTTTTTTGTTTTTTCTCCTTTGAACAAACTGTTTCTTTGTAGTCTTGTGGTTATGTTGAAAACCGGTCTCTTTCAGAAACAACTCTGCCAGTCTGCATGCTGGCTCCAAGCTCCAGCATAAGCCCTTCTGAGCCTAATCCTGCACATAGTATCCTTTGTCTTAAATGTTCCAGCCTTACTCCTGGATGGGCTTCTCTTGGTCCTCATCATCTATGGTATGCCCTGCCAAGAGCTAAGTCAGGCATAGCCCTGTGCCTGAAGTAGCCTCAGACAGATTGTCTGAGGGTCTGTGTGCCTTTGGAGAGATGGCTACAGAATACATGACTAGTCCTTCAAGCTTAAAGGTACAGTGGTACTTTGGTTCACCAATTTAATTGTTCTATGATTTTGGAAAATGGCCACATTTGTGTATGTGTGGGAAAGATGACCACAGTCATAGTTGTCACCTGACCCACTGTTCACAAACAAAAATAAAACTCTTCCAAATGTTTCTGTTTGCAAAACAAACTGTTTGCAAACAAAAGTACTCATGAATCAAGGTACCACTGTAGTTTTGTTGACTAGAAACCTTGGCCTGTATCCCAGTTCCCTAAAGATTAGCTCAGCTAATGTTTGGTGATTTTTGAGTCTGGGAAATGAGTTTGGCACTACCTGGTTAGGCTTTCTCTCCCAGCTTGGCTTCTTTGTGACCAGGCAGCTTTATGGGATATGGGGTTTCTGCCTTGTCCAGACCCCCAGCATGCAAGAGACTAACCTCACACTTTGCTGTCTTCTTCCAGGACCAGCACATCTCTTCAGACTCTCTGGCAAGTGCTTCAGCTTGGTGGAGTCCATGTGAGTGTGAGTGGGGTGGGTGGCAGATGGGGTCTGGGGCCTTCCTGACAGCCCTGTTCCCCCAGGTACAAGTACGAGTTCTGCCCATTCCACAATGTGACCCAGCATGAGCAGACCTTTCGCTGGAATGCCTACAGTGGGGTCCTTGGGTGAGTGTGGATAGGCTCATAGATGGCAGGGTGGCCCACCCCCCAGTCCAGTTTTACATGTTGGTGCCTCCCCAGCATTTGGCATGAATGGGAGATCGCCAACAATACCTTCGTGGGTATGTGGATGAGGGATGGCGACTCCTGCCGTGCCCGAAGCAGGCAGAGCAAGGTGAGGCCTAGGGCTGGGGCTGGGGGCAGGCCTAGGTCTTACCCATCTACTCACCATGCTGCTCTCCCCAGGTGGAGCTTACCTGTGGGAAGAACAACCGACTGGCCCATGTGTCTGAGCCAAGCACCTGTGTCTATGCACTGACATTTGAGACTCCTCTTGTCTGCCATCCCCACTCTTTATTAGGTAGGACTGGTTTTGGGGGCTCTGCTGGGGCCAAGGGCTCTGCTGAGTCTGGCTCCCTGTGGATTTAGTATATCCAACCCTGCCGGAGGCCCTACAGCGGAGGTGGGATCAGGTGGAGCAGGACCTTGCTGATGAACTCATCACTCTGCAGGTAAGTGCTGGGAGGGCTATATACCAACCTATGCCTCTTCCAACACCACCACCCTAGTAGTCTCTTGGCTTCCTTAACCTTCAGGGATATGAGAAGTTGCTGAGGGAGCTTTTTGAGGATGCTGGCTATTTAAAGGCTCCAAGAGAAAATGAGCCTACACAGCAGGAAGGAACAGCTAGGGGTCTGGGGACTGAGACTCTGGAAAACTGCAACAAGGTAAGTGCAGGATAGGAGGCAGATTGGTCCCTGGTCATGAATTCTCCGTGTCCTCCAGCAACTTGACCTATCATTAGCACTCTTGCTCTAGGCACGTTCAGAGTTGACAGAGGAGATACAAAGGCTCACCAGTCTGCTAAACCTGCATGGCATTCCCCACGAGAGGCCCACAGGTGCGTTGGCCAGACTGGGGTGGGACTTGTCACCCCAGAAACCAAGATCTGACCTGCTGCCTGGTGTCTCAGCAGAAACCTCCCACACTGAGCACTTAGCCCAGCAGTCCCCGACAGATGTGACTTCAGAGCAGCTTCGAGGGGATCCAGGACTTCGTGGGAACATATTATGATAGAGAGTAGACACAAAGAGTGAAGAATGTCCATCTAAACTTGAGTAGAAAACAGTACTCTGGACCTGCTGGGCCAGGTGGAGACACAGAGGGACTCTCTATCTCTAGCCTGACTTTGTTATACTTAATAGAGACAAACAAAGATTCAAAGTTTTAATTAATTCCCATACTGATAAAAATAATTCCATGAATTCTGTAAACCATTGCATAAATGCTATAGTGTAAAAAAATTTAAACAAGTGTTAACAATTTTAAACAATTCACTACAAGTAAATGATTATGTATTTTAAATATGACTTTCTGAGTTAAGAAAAATCCATTCACATAACATTCTGATCTAAATGCTCAAAATAAAAACACACAGGGCTTCCATAAATTAATTCACATGAAGTGTCTAAACTGGGTGCATAAACATTGCAATACTATCATTTACTAATATTTCACACTAGACTCAAAAGACAACAGGCAGTAAGAACAGCATTGCTGGTTACTCCACAGCTTCAACTCCCACACCGAGACCACACCTTCATCACCTACATCTGGACTGGGAGCCTGTGTATCCCCCCCTGTACTCCTGGGTCATGTAGGATAATCAACTGCAGAGACCACAGGCAGAGTAGGAAGAACCCACAGTGAGCAGCCCCCGTGGTCCTGCCACACTATTGACTCACTCCCGAGTAGTTCTTTGGGCTCCCTGGCACACCTGTCCTCAGCCTGTCCTGATCCCAGGAGAATGGATGTTTAGGGCTAGGCACACCACTGTGGGACCCAGTTGCCAGCTCCCAGCTTTTGCTCTCACCCTAGAATTTTAGCCCTGGAGAGAAGCTCCAGAGCACTGGCCATATTCCATAGGAAGAACTGACCAGAGTAGCTTATAGACAGATCTAAAGCTTAATGGTTCTTATTTGTTTATAATTTGAAAATGTCTAGGCTATATACCAATAATAAACATTGTCCTGTTATCCCAAAGGCCAACGGCCAGAAATGGGAAACAAGTGCATAAATATTAATAAAAATAAACAATCTTAAACAGTGATAACAGTAGCACAAAATATACATAATTTCTAGATACTGAGCTAATAAATCACTATAATTAAAAACAAGATTCACTAAAACCAGGTCAACAGTTACCATTAGTAGCGTAATAGCTGCGGAATGTCATGGATCCACTGCCTTTAAAATGATAGAACCTTTCTATCAGTTTGTCTTATATTTAAAAATGCTTTTAAATCTCCTATATTAAATACATTCTAATTTGGTCACTGATAAAAATGTTTACCTAGTCACTTTGCACTTTAAAAAATGCTAGTAAAAGTCTTTGGCAAAGCCACAAGAGAGGAGACACGAGATGACCCTTCCAGCCAGAGCCAAGTCCACCCCCTCCAGCTGCCTGAAAAGGACAGCTGTCCAGCTCTGCTGGCTGAGGGCAAGGTCTCCATAGACAACACACAGCTCTTTTCCCTAGATTTCCAGGAATAGTCCCAGTCCTGACCAGAGAGGACTCCTATTATCATGCTGCATACATTCTCAGCAACACTGCTGTCACAAGCCTGAGGCCAGTTGTCAGAGACCTGCAGTCACTCAGGATCTGATGAGCAAAAGGAGATGCCACACAGCCAGGGTCCTAGGCCATGGAGGCACCTCACTGGTCATATAGAGGAACTCTGATTAAGGATGCACAGGTCAGGTCAAGGTGTGGCTAATGCTGTAACCCGGGGTTCCACATGGCCTTTATAGAATCTCTTGAGGCAGAAGTTTCAGGCAGTGACAGATGCAGGAGAGGGAAGGCTCCCAATTCACAGCCCACACACTCGGCACAGCTAGGATGCTCCGGACATATTAGAGGTTACAAAGCACCATTGCCCATTACAGATCTAAGTTGTAAGAACACAAGCTTCTTCCAAAGTGAACTTCAAAATCTGTTAGTACCTGGTCCCTTCGGTTGCATTTTTCATTAGCATCAAATTCTGAGTTTCAAGTGAAAAAACCAAATGGACCGTTTCTTTCACTTTTGCAAGGCATAGGCACTTAGAAAAAGTGGCCACGGATCGGTAAGTACAGGGTAGAGCTCTCGGTATCATCTCACAATACTGGAATATAAAACTCCAACAACATGTGAAAGTTCACATGTTTAGGAAAATTAGCTCCTCATAAAATTCAAAACATCTAAATGTATATGTGTCTTTTAATAATCACTCTGCTTATAAATACTATTTGTTTGCATTCAATCTGAAAATGTAAAAATGCTAGGTCTTCCTCACTAGATAAACGCTCATTTCTTAAGTAGTTTCAGAATATGAAATCTATCTGCCAGACTATGAATTAACAGTAAACGAATAGGAAACTTCAAGTTCACAGCACACATATAAAGCTTCATGTTATCGCATATTAAAAAACACAGACCTAGAAAGCAGCTTATACAATTCATAACATCTAACTAAATTCCTTGGTTGACAAAGTGCTTTGATGAGACCCCGCCCCTGGTGGCCTGGCCACCGCAGCATCAGGTCCTTGGCCCCAACCATACTCCACCTGTCCAGCCCTTGGAGGCATTAGAACCCCTTGGCAATGGGCAGATGGGTTCTGGGTGCTGTTAAAAGTTTTTGAGAATACTTTGAAACCATTGGCGGGCCATAGTAGGTAAGAAAAATACAAAAGGCTGTCAGGTGGACAGGGCGCAAACTCACGTCCTGACATGGTGGCACCAGGAATGATGACACTGCTGTGGAAGGCAAGGGCTGGCTCTGGTCACCATGGAAGAGGCTGGCCTTTGCAGTAGGGGCATTCAGGTGCATTGGCTGCACACGGCTCACACAGGACACGGTGCTGGCAGGGCTGCAGGGTAGTGCCACAGGCCTGCTCCCGACAGGCCACACACTGCTTGGCACGGAGCTGGAAGATCACCTGTGGAGAAGATACTATTGGTGGAGCCAGCAGGTAACAGGCTACTGGCTACGGTGGCAGAGTCAGGGAGACTCCTGCAGCATCAAAGCTGAGATGCAAGCTGGGCCACCACATGAGGGAGAGTGGCTAGTTATGTGGGGATACTTGCCTTTCAGACCTCAAGGGCAGAGAACTAGCTCAAAGGCCAGTTATCTCAGTCACAGGGAAGAGGCCAGCCCCAGGACAGGATGAGGACTATGGAAGCTGGATACCTAGCACATGAAGCAAGTGGGATCCTCCAGGAACTGCACCTTGGAGGCAAAGCCAGGGAGGTACATATGGCAGCTTGCCTGGTCACAGGACCTTCCAGAGCTCAGAATGGAAGGAGTGTCTAGCCACCAGCACAGCCAGTTTTGTGCTATACCCGTCAGGATGCCGACCTCCAAAAAGTGCCGCAGACTCAGGAAGGACAGAGCCCTTCTATGTGGAGGACACAGCCTCATGCTCACTAGAAATGGCAAGACAAGAGGAAGTGCCCAACAGGCACTGGGCTAATATGGGGAAGGGGAGGCCATGCAGAGGCCTCCCTCTTCTCTAAGGGGACAGACGCCAAATTACCACTACGTATTAAGACTCACCCCATCAACAGCCTCAAGGTCCAGGCGCAGCTGGCTTTGTAAGGAGTGCAGCTTGGAGAGAGGGATGGAACCAATATCACCGCAGCTCCGTAGCCCAGGCAGTGAGGATAACAAGCCCAGGCCCTCAAGCTCCTCTTGCAGCTGTTTCACTTGAGCCTCAACCTCCTCCTTTTTCTGTAGGGCCAGCAGCCGGTCACTGTCTGCCACACGGGCCCGCTCCTTGGCCTCCTGAGCCTCTCGTTGCCATGCATCACAGGCCTGAAACCCAAGAGATAATCAGGAGCAGCCGGCCAGAGCCAGCCTCCACACACCCATTCATCTACCCCCCCACCTCTGCACATATCTGGACCCTACCCACATGCTTACCTGCTTCACCTGCTGCCAAGACTCTTCCCACTGTCTAATCTTCCTCTTGGCTTCATCCAGCTGTCGCCTGACCCGGGCCAGCTCAGCACCATTTGGACTTGAGGCAGGGGGGCCAGTGTTTAGGATGGGGGAGGGGCTGGGCGAGAAGCTGCCAGAAACAAAGTCCCAGATGCTCCCAGGGACGCCATTCAAACCTGAGTGTGGGGAGTGGGTAAGACAGGAGTAACCAGGGCCACACTTTGACCACACCCTGCCCCTTCTGCCTGCCACTCCCCAGCGGATCTGTGATTCCCTTGCCTTGCCCCTGATCACAGGAGCCCTAACCCTTAGCTGGCTCCTGCAGGTGAGGTCAGACGGTTGTAACAGGCTGACATCAATGGCACCAGATCTAAGCAAAGAAGGAAATTAAATCCAAACTACCCATGGCCGCACAAGGGAGAATAAGAATTCTCAGGTGCTTTAAGTATAGATCCTAGAGGCCCCGAGTTTGTTTTCCTGGTGTATACCTGCTGCCATGCATGCAGCATTAGAGATTGCCACTGAGGTACATAAAAAACAGGAGGCACTAATACTGTTTCCAGTCACTACTGTCATATACACTTTTGCATGGGAACTTAGGACTCATACCCTGTACCCCTGTACAGCACCATGAAGCCACTTGGGCTGTGGTGGCATGAGGATCCAGAGAGGTTTCAGGTGAGCCACTCTTTGGTCCCAGGCAAGGAAGAAACCAATGCCGTGGTGGGGGCTCCCATGCTGTAGTAGCCACAAGCAACACAGCCCTAGTAGGCCACTGCTCTGGATCTGCTGATTTAGCTGTACAGTGTGGGTCTGGGTCAAGGAGGTGAGCGCCTGTGCAAGGCCAAGCCGGGACTCACCTAAAGAGCTGTAGGATGAGGCTGTGGAGCCTAAGGCGGCAGGCTCTGACCTGAGGGGTGGCGGCTGCTGGGGGGGCGTCATGGCTGAGGCGGTGAGTGGTCCCGACAGGGACTGGGACAGCGAGCTGAGCGGGGACGTGGACAGGGAGGAGGACGAGTGCAGGGACGGCGAGCGGGGCAGGGAGCCCGGGATGGCGACAGGGGCCGAGCCTGCCAGCGACCGGGGGCCTGGACGGAGGAGGAGCTGAGTGAGTAAGGTGGCTATAGGGACACCTTCCCATAAGTACATGGAGTCTGCAGCTAAAGCAAATGGATGCTCAGGACAGAACCAAATAAGCCAAAGGGCCTTGAGCAAGAGGGCATCTCAGCAAGGGGCCCAGCCCAGGCCAGACATCCACAGCACAGTGTGCCCAGGACTTGCAAGGCCCCTCCTGAGATGGTTTCTTTTAAAATCGGGACAATAAGCTTTCAAAATGAAAAACATGATTTTTTATATACCACTAGTACTTTCAGTTTTACAGCAGTGGTTAA